AATTGAAACCCCACTCCAATTTATTTAAACGAAAAGCATATAAGCAAATATTTTCTTATAAAAATTTAACAAATTAACCATTCATAATTCAAATAAATTGAACCGCTAGCCTCTCCGGATAAGTAACAGTAAAGCATTAAAACTGTTGGGTTTCCTTAGAAGAACTACTTCTGATTTTCAGAATGTGATGTGTTTTATGATTCTTTATTATGCCTTAGTTAGACCTTATATTGAATATGCCTCCAATGTATGGAATCCCTGTTACCTTAATGATATGCGAATATTTAAGGGTGCAAATCTACATGCAAAATGACAGTTTGCTTTATAAACTATGGTCCAAATGTCAATTTTTTTTCTTTCATTCTTCAATATTTACATTCATTTTCTGGGACAATACAACAGTTTTTATTTTTTTACTCAAAAACGGAGCAATGTAGGAAAACAAATCAAGAGATCATTTGGAAAAACCATGGGCGTATCATTTTTTTCTTCAGAAATATTGAGTCTATTGCCCGTACGCACGCCATTGTTAAAGCTGAAAATTGTTTTTGTAATGAAAAATATGCACCATTATTAACTGTCTGAATATTAAATATCACTGAAATATCTCAAGGGGTTACAAAAATAATTAATTTTCCTTTTTTTTCCAAAAATTTAGCACTAAGGAACACCCTGTATATATCTAATCAATAATATAGAACAGGTTCAAAGAAAATGTTTACACATTGTTGCATTTAAATCTGGTTTCGCCCCTGTCAATGTGTTCTCATGTAATTAACAACTCTAAAAAAAAAGTTTTGCAATCTTAATTTATATTCCTTTTTGCAGCTCGAGTATTACTGTCGCAAAATCCGTAAATGTATACCATTCATATACTGAATAATATTAAAAAAACAATAAATACTGACAGAAGATGCAAATTTGCCAGCAAATGACAACAATGAGATGTCAATTCCACAACTTATGAAATATTCTAATAATAAAATTACTTATCTACAATTATGATATTTGGTCCTAACTATCTCTGTCCAGAATAATCTAGCTTTCTTGGATCTACAAATCTACCAAGTGGTAATTAAAAAAAAATCAATATAAGGGTGTTCGAAAGATAAATAATTGTAATATTTGGTCCTAAATACGACCCGTTAATTTTATTTTATTGTGGTGTAGATGTATACAAATACTGTGAGCACCATAAGTCTTACCCCCCCCCCCCCCTATCTAACTCGTTACTGGAATCTTGTTAGGAAAATCGCCGAGACACGTCGATTTTTGATTTCTACAATATACATTTTTGTATGAATAGTTTACCCTTAATTTCATCCCTTACTGGAGGGGAGCAACCCTTTCGAAAAATTTAAATGGCATGGGGTGGTGAGTGATAGCTCATTTGAAAGAGGGTTTTATTTATATTCTCTATTCTAAAAAAATTTGAAATTTGCTTCATTAATTCTCGACTAATTGTTGTTTCAGAATAACGGAAATTAACGTAGCGGACTCATCCTTAGAATTAAAATTCGGCCCTGCATGATTTCGGTTTTGGTTCAGACGTGAAGTAAGACTTTTTGCCATTAGAAGGTCACTGTTAGTCTAGTTGCTTTCCTATTTTGTGAGGTTTTGTTATTTTTAAACATTAATAAATCAACACGTAATGAAGCAAATTTCAAAATGTTTTGCACAGTTGAATAGAGAATAAAACCCCCTTTTAAATGAGCTATCACTCACCACCCCATGCCATTTAAATTTTTCGAAAGGGTTTCTACCCTCCAGTAAGGGATGAAATTAAGGGTAAACTAATCATGCAAAAATGTACATTGTAGAAATCAAAAATCGACCTGTCTCGGCGATTTTCCTAACAAGACCCCAGTAACGAGTTAGTTAGGGGGGGGGGTAAGACTTATGATGCTCACTGTATAAGTGTGATCCAATAAAATAACAAAATTCCATCAGTTTCCCTTCTGTACCAACACAATATTGAAAAATAATAATTTAGACTTAAAATTTTAGCAGTAAAATTATCTACGCAAAAATAAAAACACATCATTGGATTCAAGTTTTTGTGCTTTTTTCAAATATGAAAAATAATTCAAATTCAGACATACACAGTGTTGTTTTAAGGATGGACAAATTTATTAATTTTTTGTACAGACGAACCTGGATTTCGTTTTCTATTTATACCTTAGTAAATTCTGTAAGTTATGGAGAATATGTGAGTAAAATTTTAAAAACATATACAAGATGGTTCATAACTTATGAGTCAAGAAAGAAGTCTGCAAAATTGAGAAAACACCCTGTATCAGTATATGAGTTTATTAATAAGAATGTTTTTATTGGGATTTAATTTTATTTCTAGTAACATAGGTGCCTGCAAGCTTATTTCCACTGTATTAGATCAGAAGTAATATATCGCAACCTTCAACCTACTCATCTTAGATGGCAATGTATCGTAAGAAGTCCAATCATTTGACTGAGCTCAACCTTGCAAAGTTTGAAGAGTTGTTTAGTCCTCTGTGGGGAATATGAAATTAATTATTTTGCTTGAATTGACCTAGAGTTCCTACAGAAAGAAGTCTTTTGAGCCTTGATGGTCTTTAAATAATAAGCTATGGACTAAACTATTTTAAATAATTTTAATTCTTATACTGTCATTAATACACTATTGGAGGCTGATTTGCAACAATCTGGAAGCCGTACTTAAGTAATTAGATTCTAAAAACAGCAAAAAAATATTTTAATAAACCAAATGGTTATCACAAATATACCAATAATATGTATACCCAAAAATCTAGTAAGGTATATTAGTTTGTAATCATTATTTTTACAGTTTTCAAGATTGTAGTTTTATAGTTAGATCCATTCATACATACATCTAAATCAATAATTATTTCATTATGACATGTTTTTCAGTAAAATATAATATGTATATTAAAAAAACACCATTTGATTTTGTTTTTAGTTCGTGTATAATTTGCACAATTTTATTATGTCATTATGAAGTTCATAAATTTAAATAAGTATCTTAAATATGTTATACACCTATTAATTTTATAATTATTAAAAAAGTACCATTATCAATATTACTAGTTTTAATTAAACAAAAAATCTACTGTCCAAAAAATACATTTCTAATTCTAAACATTCTATATTAACCTTTTCAGGACGGATAAGGACTGGAGTTGCATATATTTTTCTTACCAGTCAACCGGGAAAAGACTCGAGTTGAAAACTTGGAGGTGCAATTTAGGACTGTAAATGATCGCCGTTTGATAGTAATGTGGTATTAATATGACTAACACCGCCCGTATTTAGCGCTCATTTGATTATTTATCATCCGTCTTTATTTATTTTCAGACGGTCGTTCATGTTCACAGTAAATGTGGTAAATATCTTCTCTGTGGTAAATGTCTTCTCTGGCATCTCTGGGCAGTTTCAGTATTACCATATTATTTCAGTGAGTGAATATCCTTTGTTTCTAAAATGTTTTGTTTTTCTGTTACCAATCTGTATTTTTTATCAACCTTGATTTTTTGATGTTATTTTATCAGTTTTTTATTCTGTAAAATATCTGTTTTTTGATTTTGATATGACATTTTATTTGATATTGAATATTTTTTGTTTCACATATTTTTTTATTTTATGTCATGCAAATTAAAGTTCTGCTTTTTATAATATTCAGTAGGTATATTATTTTCAAGAAATAGTGAAAACACCTTTCCATTCGAAATTTTCTTTAATGCATATTTTGGCAGGTAAGGACACGAATCGTTACTATGGTTGCCGTCCCGAAAAGGTTAAAACCTAATGTAACATGTTCACAACAATATTAGATGAATATATAGTGTGTCTGGTTAGGTCCACAGATTGAGTTTTCAAAAGGTAAAATCTTAACTTTTATCAAAAATTGTAATAGTTAAGAAGTTTGGCTTGTTCTAAAACCTATTGAAATATATAATAATAGTATATTGTGCAACAAGTGCAGAAAATAACCAATTGTGTAAAACTTGTGCCACCTGGGAATGTTTATTTATTGACGAGTACAGAATTGATTGACTACTTTGATGTTTAGAAAACAATATGGAATGTGATTTTGAATAGTGGTCATCTAAAAAAAATCTTTAGCTTATCTGCTTTTAGTAGGGAATTTTTATATGCAGATGTAAAAAATATAATAATAATAATCTAGTAAGTAGCATCTGAGTTTTAAGAATTTGGTGGCCTGATATCATTGTGACTTTCTCATTGCAGTTTGAAATTGTAACTATCATTTCTGGTTATCTACAAGAATATCAATGTTAAAGGACATAACTAGTGTTTTCTATCATTATGCCATCCTATAATTTACTGAAAAATATGAAGATGTAAACATTAAGAATATTAACTTAAAAAATCGATGAAACTGGGTTGGTTTAAAAATTAAATAATAACTAAAATGAAAGTATAATGTGAAGTTGATATGGATACCTACAGCTTCTGCCTTAGTTGCATCGAGTTTGTTATTGAATAATCATCCAATGATCATTTATGCAGAAGAACAACAAAGATTGACCTAACTTTATGATACTCAAAACTCAAACATAGCTTTTTTTAAAACGAAAATTTGTATGCAAGTATTTGAGAAAAAGTTGAAGAGAAGTCATTTCAATATTTTCCATGGAGGGTCCTAAAAGGAACTGGTGTTATTTCTTTGCAAAACAGTAAATGTTGATAAATTGAAAATCCCTACTTAAGTATTACATTATTTTGAGAAAGTTAAATATTTTGCTATAACACATTTTGAAGGGAAATTAAAGAAGCGTAAATATTTAAATTTGCTGGATAACTTGTGGAAATTGTATATAAAGTGCAAGTTTTAGATATACCAAAAATGTTATTAAATTTTGTCTTTTAAATTTTTCCTATTGTAAACTCAATCAGTGGAAACACTGCATATGTTATTTTAATATAAGTAATTGGGAGTAGTATATATCATGTAAATGAAATATGTTCATAAAAATACCTACCAAAAAACCTATTCTCTGTACTCCAAATCATTTACTTCCATAACTTGGACATGGAACATTATATTATCAGATTAAGTTTTTCATTTTGAGAAGAGATGAGTGGCATTATCTTTTTAAAAGTGTCCTCGAAATTCACAGAAGTTAAAAGGGGATTTGATTCACGAATAATTCGAGTAAAGAAAAAAAATTTAATGTTGACTAAAAAATGGCTCCCTATAGTATTATCACGGGCCCATGGACAGTAGTTATTTTTAATAAAATATTTTCAAAAATAGCCCACTCTACTAAGAGAGGTTTATATTAGTAGAATACAACACAAATCTACACAAGCATATTTTAAAAATAGAATCTGGCTAACATTTTATAGAGTTTAATCGCGAATCCTCTATCGGTCCTCCTAAAAACTACTCGATACACCCTGTCACTAAATCGACTTTTGCTTATATACCACCGACTGCTAGTTACACTTTTTCGTTACAGAAACAAACTGTAAAGCAAGAGGAATCGCGTATTTAACTTCACTGAAAGTATATTCTCACTTTTTGATGCTTAAACATAGTTTTTTCAAAAATTTTTGGCGAATAACTTCGGAAGTACACAATTGACTTTATTCGGCCTTGCCAGACGGGGCGCCACTGGCGCTGTCATCCCAATGATTTTGCGCAAAGCTGGATCTTGTTGATTTTTGAAAGTTCCAGTGACAGAACAAACTTTCTTTATTAGGGTATAAAGAATCGACGGGATTTTTCAATAAATGAAAAATTATTTTATTTTGTTGTAAAAATATGGTTTCACTTTATTTTCTTTTCAATTTTAGTTAACACTTGCTTAGTGACTTGTTTCATAGAGAGTATAAGTAGATTCTTGCTATTATTTTATTGTTGATTTCCTTATAAAGTTTGATTCAGATTTAGGAAAACCAACAATATTTTTTTTTATATAGAAAAGCAATCTATTAAAACAAGAATTCTCCAAATTAGTAATTCAATATGTACGAGAGAGCTAGTATTTGTCCTAATAATTTAAATATTAAGTTAAATAGTAAAAAAATAGTACAAAAAACAAAAATACAATCTTGATTTTTGTTACGGGTGTATATATGGTAATACCGCAAGAGGTCAGAATTTAAAAAAAAATATTTTGTTGTTTCATATATCCGCACCGACGGTTCTTAAACAAAACAAGCAATAGTGTCAGTGTGTAGTTCAAACCGAGCTCAAAGTGATTCATAGAAGCAAAATAAATTACCAGAAACAATATCACTGGAAGGAACATACTCATCTAAACAAATATAGCACTCTGGACAGACCACGAATTTACTCAGGTTTAGTATTAGAATATCACGAAGCTTTGGCCGAAGTATCCATCAATCATCGCAATTAATGTGCGGTCACCTCTTAAGATGGATCAAAGTCACACCTATGAAGATTAAAGATAAGGAGGCGGATCGGCATACTCAAAATACGGTCCCAAAAAACGCACGCTAATTGAGCTTTTATAATTAACATACATAATTAAAATAGATGGCTTCTTATGGGAATTATACATAATTTTGTCAAAATAATAAAAATAAACTTGTTTATAGCTAAATAAAACACAGAACATACTGTTGTATTTATTTATAAATAAGTCTTGCATGTTTTAATTGATAAATTATTTAATTTTATCTATATAAAATACAAATTAGATAGGTATGACCAAATTCGAAAAGGTTTGGTAAACGGTGAAATTTGATGAGTACAATTTTGTGGCAATTTTTTTTTTTTAATTGAACCTATATATAGTTTTAAGAGCAAAATAAAACACAGTTAACAGATTTTTTATTGTTGTAATACAAATGTAAAGGGAGATATGGGAATGTACATGGTATTACCTCATCCTTTGATTTCAGTTTTCCCCTTTTTATTTTGCTAACAGTACCATCAGTAAAAGTAGTCTTGTAATATGTGATAATATCTTCTAAAAAGTATGAAACAGCATCATCTTTAGAAAGTGCTTTATCGGCACTAGGAACGATATATAGGTAGTATGCTGACACAGTTCTAAGCGTTTAGTATCCTATAAAAAACATTTACAATTGGGTTTCAACAAAATAAATAACAGTAGCAACTCTTTATCTAACATTAAAACTCTCTAAAAAATAAATTTTCTTTTCTAGTAAGTTAAACTTACACCCGTATGCATAGTCGATCGCCAGCGATTCGCCAGAGATTCATTTCGGCGTATCGCCAGCGATTCGCTGGCGAAAGCCCAAAAAGGTGGCGACTCGCTGGAGATTGTCACCGGCATGTCATCTCTCGCAAGTTTTCATGTTCTTTTATAGGGATTATCTCCGGCATCTCTCATATTTTATTCATGATTCATTTCTTAAAACTCAAAAAACAATGAACGAATATCAAATTTTTTCCTATAAAAGAATATTAAAACTTGCGTGAAATGACATGCCGGTGACAATCTCCGGCGAGTCGCCACCTTTTCGGGCTTTCGCCAGCGGATCGCTGGCGATACGCCGAAAAGAATCTCTGGCGAGTCGCTGGCGATCGACTATGCATACGGCTGTTGTGTATAATTATTATTGTTGTTTGTAAATCAGTATCTACGACTGTAAAATTTTATATTATAGAAACTTGTAATAAAATACACTCCGTAAGAAAATATTGTAAAATATTATATTTAGACATAAATACATTATTTTACTTACATGAAAAGCTTTATAACGACATTGAATTGATTTCTCCTTGCGTTTTTTAGTTTTACATTTGATTTGTATCCTGTTTCACATTCTGGAACGACGTAAATCTAGCTTTGATGTTTTTTGTCACTCATGTTACTTGTACTCAGGTGCTTTTTTTCACATTATTTTGATTCTTTTCACGAATTTTTTCAAAAATCACTTCATTTTCAATTGACTTACATAGAAAATTGACACTGCTTTTATTCGACATGCCAACTACAGTCCATTGCCGATTCGCCTCCTTCTCTCTAGTCTTCATAGTCACACCACATCAAAAGTTAACCGTTTTGCTGATTCACTAACCAAGAATAAGGCAGCCAAAAACAAATACTTTTTGGACGTGTCCCTAGCTTCCATTGGACCACATTGACAACATATAGGTAGTGACAAACTTTTTTAAAGAACATTCCCTTTTGAAATTCACTGACACAGATGTCATGAATTAGACAAAACAAGAGAGCTGTAGAGTTTCCAGGAAGCCTTTCAAGTTATCCCGACAACACCACAGCAAACACATTCTTGACTATGACTAGATAGAATCTGCGTCGGATCACAGGTATTCTAACTGGTCATTGGCAAGTATGGAAGCATCTCCATATGAGGCTGTCAGAATCCGTACTATGCAGGGGGTTTTTGTATGGCTCCTCATGACTTTTTGAAGAAGAATCAATTGAAGGCTTATTCCTTTTTAATTTTTGTATATTTTGTCATTTCCGTTGTTGCTAGAACAGGATAACAGTTATGCAGTACGCACAACAAGATGATACCATCGAGCATATCCTCTACGATTGCTCGACACTCTCATTTATTAGAGGATTTGTGTTTTGCAACAATGGGCCTCTGATAAGGCCTAAGGGCCGTGTGGGGGCAACCAACCCTCCACACGTTACAGATACACATATCTTCTTTAACAAATATATGAAACTTATTCGTTACTGTCATTCTTGATTCCTAATATACAGAGGTCGTTTGAGCGTACACATGTTCGTATAAAACAGAACTTGAATATATTACAAAGAGTGATCCAAAAAAAATGTTTCTAAAGTAGGTCATGACTGAGAAAAACAGATTCGAGTCATGTTCGTGATAAATACGCGCGGCTCTGAATTAAATCCAAATTGACATTTAAAATGAAAAAGAATTGCACGCTCCGACATACATGAATTTTTTCAAGGCATACTTTAGAAATATTTTTTGTGGATCACTCCTTATTATCTACAGTGGTCCGTAGTGTAGCGATAAGCGACTACAGCCCCAGAGAATATAGCGATGGGAATGACTTTAAAAAACCGTTTCGCTTCATTTGAATATTAATTATTTTTCATGTTGCTGTTGTATTTTCCAATTCTGCACATTACCCAGTGACATCTGCAGAAAAATGACCTGTATTTGTACATAATATACAATTTCTGTTATAACTTTTCAATCATGATTTCAGGAGAACGGTATAGAAACGCAATGCTATTGAATAGAGAGAAATAGAATACGTCGCCGAGTGCGGAACGCAATATCCCGCATGCTTGCCATCGAAAGGGCGTGGTCAAACTATTTACACTCTTTAATTCTCTCACCACCAAATATAATTAAGCTGTTCATCTTTATTTTGCCTGCTGAGTTGGTTAACGTACTGTATACATATAGGGTTTTCCGACACAACAAATTTAAACGAACAACCTGTATGTAAAAGTGGTGTTTCACAATTTGCACATTGGGTTGCCTACATTTACCTAGTTTTATTTGAAGTTAGAAGTTGGCAATTCTGCCACTTCGATTGCCACTAGAATCCTCCCCTCCAGGCTCCAATCCAAAAAATCCATCAATCAAATCGCCATTCGCCATCTTGTTCATGTGTAATACTTTGTGAAGGTAATATACTTTTTATTTTTAATAACGTTATTTACTTTTCATTATTTTATTATTAAAATATTAACTAGTTTTCATTTAATTTTAGAAAAAATACCATTTGGATAGTCTTTAACTGTTTGTCGGCTTACTTCACTTTTACGTAACACTACTATTCATGTTATCTTAATTTTTAAATAATTACAATTTCGTAGTTTTACGTAAGCCGAACAGTAATATTTAAGGGATTTCTTTATGTAGTTGTTAAGATACTAATTCAGGTAACACTGGAATTATATTTATTTTCTGTTTGTAAATTCAAGGGCCAATGTCAAATTTAGGTTGTTTTAAGAACTGAAAAGGCAAGTCTAATTCGTTTTAAGGTCTATTATAATGTGCATAAATGACCAATGTTTAAGTTTCTATTTAGAACAAATAAAAGAAATGTCGTTCACATCACCTACCCTACATTCTCATTTGTAATGCCTTCTTGAACTCGCTCATAAATTTATCTGAATTGTCTAAATGGCCAGGAATCTGCCCTTCATAAAAATAGTCTAAAACGTTAACCATATTCTTTATGCTAGGTATGGACTATATTTTACAAAAGAGAATCTGATGAAAATATAGTAGGAAGCAAAAAGGCAGGTTTCTTAAAATTAATAGTGTCATCACAGTCTGTGTGGCATGTGCCTACTATATTTAATATTAAAAAGCATATCAATGCAGGTACACATAAAATATTTAATTACAGACATTAGTTTAATCTACTGCATTAATTTACTATTTATTTTTCTGAAAATGGACTGAAAAAAAAACTACATGTCACATTGTTGAAACTTTAATAGGTAGATAACCTAAAAATGCAATAAATACAAAGTTTCCTTTATTTATATAGTACCTAGAGTAGGGAAAATGGGAATTAAAAAAAATAGGTATTTTTAATAAAATATTGAGTAGTTTCATTACCCTCCAACATATTTAAGTTTTCCTAAAAATATAATAAAAAGTTGTATACTATTTTATTTTTTACTGTATTACTAACTTGAGCTGCAGAATTTCTGTCACTGTTGGATCACATAACTAAAATAAGAAGAATAGATTTGATCTCAATTCTTGCTCAAAATTTACTTTCTCATATGGATATTCAAAATTGAGGTTTTTGAGTTTGTGCATTGAGTTTCTGTCAGACATGTCAATTACCATTCACCTTTTATTTATCTATGGCTATTTTAATATGTGAATTTTTTAATTTAAAATTAATTTTATCAACTTTTATTGTTTTAAGTATATTGTTAGATATATTACTTCAAGATCATTACAAATTATACCTTAAGTTTAAAAATAATATATGTGCAAATGGGGAGTAGGTGGCTCAATGGTTGAAGCCTAGATCTAATTAATTTACATAATTCGGTTGACACTACTGGTATAGTGTAAAGAATTTTTTTTTTTGTAATTAAGATAAACTTTATTCTATTTGTGTAAAGTGGGATACACTATATATGTTTAAATATTTGTGTGCAGTTTTGAAGTCCAAACAACAGTTTTTGGTGGAATAATTTTTTTCTGAAAAACATTCTCTTATATAATTTAAACTGTCAAATTCCATTCTCCCTATTTCGGTTCTGTATCTTAGATATACAATCTCCATTATTACTCAAAATATCAAAAGCAGAACATGACTAATACATTTAATAAAATAATAGACTTGTTTTAAACAGAACAAATTTAGGTACTTTTGAAAAACATGTTATGATGCAGTATAGAGAATTTTTTTTTTTACCAACATAGTTGGTGATAATCAAAATATTTAAAGAATCTTTGATCGACTTTGTAGTTAAAATGAAAGTTATATATAAGAAATTTTTATTAATAAGTGATATAAAAAAAAGAGTTAATTCACTGAAAAGTTAGATCTAATTATATGAACCACATTTGAAAGAAAAGTAAATTTTGTTATAACAATTTTATTCTGAAGCAGAAAAACCTTCTAATAGGAGTTTCACAAACATGAACATGAAACAACAAACAAAAAAAATTAATGACAGTTTTTACATTGTTTATTATTATTTTATATATATTTTTTTTTTTTTCAGATAATATAATGGCGTCATCTTTGATTGCCCTAACTTCTAGGGTAATTAGACATATTCCAAAAAAACATATTCATATTGCTCCTATGAGCAGTTATGTTCGTCCTCTTATTGGTAAAAGAGAAATTGTAGGTTTTGGTTTCAATGGTGAGCCAAATTATGTAGACAGATCAGATTTTCCATTGCCAGCTATTAGGTGGCAGGAACCTTCTCCAGATATACAAGTAAGTCTATTGTATGAAGAATTTCAATAATGTTGTGGGCAAAAGCAATAAAATTGGGAATACTTGATACATCCAATGCCAATTTGAAATTGTGTTATCAACCAAACCAAAGGCATTTTTAAAATCATGAAACAATCATTAACCCTTTTGCCTGAAAAAGTAAGTTAGGTTTGGGGTAGGTGAAATACTTATGTATTTTTTTCTATGTCTTGGGACTCATCAGGTGGTTTAGTAGTGAGTATACCATATTGCATCCCATATTCATACCCTGACCTAGGATTTCCAAATATACAAGTGTCAAGAGGTTAAGTTTTACAAACCAAACTAATTATATGTTATTCATAGCTACTAAACACATATTTTAAGGTTGTTACATATTTTACAAAATCCAAATTTATTTTCTTTAATTTGTTTTTAGGCTTTAAGAGAAAAAGAAAAGGGTGACTGGAGTAAATTGTCAATAGAAGAAAAGAAAGCTTTGTACAGAGCATCTTTTTGCCAGACTTTTGCAGAATTTAAAGCTCCAACTGGTGAATGGAAATCCGTTATTGGATTGGGATTGCTTATACTCTCTTCAGCTTTATGGGTATTCTACTTCTTAAAAGCATTTGGTAAGTTCTCAAGAATGCATAAAAACAACCCGAACAGATGTTTTTTTTTATTTCTTAATAGTCTTTTGATAGAGACAGTGTATTTTTATACATGCATCATACCTTATTTGCAAACAAAATAAGCTGAGAAATTTTAGTCAAAAACATTGTTTAATTGAAATAAAAAACAGGATAGCTACTGTTCCAATCAACGATTCAATAGTCTCACTTTTATTTAAAATATAATTTTTTAATTAAAAAACTGACTTCAAAATTGTGAAGATGTCCTTTAAAATTGAGATTTTTGGATTTTGTCATAAATCATCAGATCCAAAACAATTGTGTACGGAACGATCCCTATCAAAAGAAGATTCTTAGCAATCGGAAAACGTGGTAAAGGATTATCGCTGAAAATACATAAAAAATTAAAGAGTTTGGTAATTTTCTCATAGACCTTATCATTAGATTTTGACCAAATTTATATGGGACCACCCCTGAGGTACTCCCTTTGTAACAAAAAAAGAATCATTGAAACTATTAGTAGTTTTTAAAGACTATAATACAAATTAACTTCAAAACAAATAACCAAAAACTAAAGTGACAGAATTAACTTCAAGAATCAAGTCAAATCACGTCTAGGCAAACTTTACATACCAAAAATAGTGTATTATGCAATCAAGTTGTACAAAGTATCTCTTTTCATTGTATTAAGTTTGTAATTGTAGACTTTCTTTCAAAAACAATACATGCCGCCCAAAAATGTTAATATTTTAATTCAATTTTTATTCACAATGAACATTTTAATTAAATTTACATAGTGATAAAATATTTTTTAGGTAGATTGATTTTTGTATTTATTTTTTTAGTGTACAGTCCTCTCCCTATCACCTTCGACAAAGAGCACAGAGAAGGTCAATTTAGACGTATTATAGATTTACAGGTCAACCCTGTACAAGGTGCAGCATCCAAATGGGACTATGAAAAGGATGATTGGAAGAAATAAATATAAATTATTTAATTTACAAATTTTAATTTTATAAAAGGAATATCAGTGATTGACAGCTACTGATATTCCTTTTTTAATAAATTATAGTAAAATACTATTAGCATATTATTTTATACCTTATTTCATGTGATGATACCATGTCTCTAAGATAGTGTTGATTGGAGCTTGCAAAGTATTAATAAATATTTCTTTTGTTATACATTTTTTGCCCTCTACCTTGTTATTGATGCCTAATAAAATATATTTGTTCTTAAGTTTTGTTAGTAAAATATTAAGTCGAATTCAAGTAATATGTAAGTACTGACTTTTCCTAATGCAATGCAGCATTTGTAAATTGTCGCTACTAAACAATTTTTTTGGATTAATAAAACATCTTTTTGTTTAATGATTTTATCAAGAATCATACGTTACGTTGGCGCGGATTTGTTTAATTTTGTACCTCAATAGCCTATAAGGAAGTGCTATTGACTACTATGTATTAACGCTCATTATCTTCATGCAACAATATGCTATATTAGTGGGAGGGTTAACTTTTAACAAAAAAAAAAATTATTGAATTTGACATGTTTTTTTTTTTTAATATTGTTTGAGACTTATTGTGGTGTGGAATATGGCTGATTGACCATGAGCAGATTAAAATTTATATTCGTTCGTAGTTTTCAATCGGCTGATACATCAAATTTGCGAAATCCATACCACAATACGTCATTGTGACGTAGTATCGATCGGCGTAATATCATACCTTCTTTTTATAATATGGTAAAATATAGTTAAAAGGTATCCACCACTAATATATAGTGTTATCCATATTTTATTGCTATCCTTCCCCTATGTTTGCTATATAGTAACAGAAGTTATCTGTTACAAGAGTTTTCTCATTATGAATTCTTAACGTAAATCTAAAAATGTAATTTTAATTTATATTACTAAATAAATCCATAAATAATAGCATTTTTATTTCGTCTATTTACAAATAATTCATAAATTTTAGTAAAACTATGTGTATTGCGCATGCGCGAAATTAAATTAATTAACTAATTTATCTGAATTTCTTGCAAACAATATATAGTTTCAAAATCTGATGTGGCCAACACATGATTTTCCTATCTAGTTATTACAGGCTTTTCCCGGTTATTTTGTACAACCCATTGTATCACTCGTGTAAATATTCATTGGCAACGAAAATGCTGAAAAATAAATATATAAGTTTCCTCAAATTTTTCCAATACGGTTCATTTTAGAGAAATATAGAATAAAAATTATAGAGAATGATCTGGCAAACAACTTTTATATGAACAATTTTCTTTAAATGTAAAAATCCAAAAACCTTGTATAACGTCATTATTTATTTATGGCGAGTAGCTACCATTCAAAATTTTAAGTTCCTTAAAAAAATTCGATACCCCCTACACACTTTCACCCCCAATTTCCTCCCTTAAAATGTAAATGTCCCAAAAACCCTGAAATACGTCATTATTTATTTATGATCAGTCACTGAGTGGTATTTCGCTTTTATGCCTATATATAAATTAAAATAAATACGTAAAAAATGACTATCAAATCCAAAAGGTGGAAATATTTTTCAAATGATTGCCCAGAAAAATGAAAATGCAAATATTGTTCCCAATGTGTTTTTGCCCAAGGTCGACTGCTTCTCATTACTTTTCCGGATATGCCTAGCTAAAAATTACTTTTCAAGAAAATAGTGTACAACTCGAACGGATTGTCCATATCCACTCTTGTTACACAAACTAGTATTCTTAATCGCAAGAAGTTCAAATTTTATTTTCTCTATAACACGGCCTCCATTGTCGTTTTGGCGGCTCGTCGGTTGTTGACCAGTTTGGCCCGCCTACGTTAAATTATACATTTTTCAGTAACAAACTTGCATTTAGGCTGACGATCTTTTTTTTTTTAGAAAAGCTCTGCAGAATTATAACGTGAGGACCTTTTTTTTAGAATCTGAACAGACCACTATATAGGCTCAGATCTGTCTTGACCCTCGTACACTTACGTTTTCTCAAACTAGCCCTTTGAAAATTTGAGTTGTGCAGGCCTGCCTTACAGTTTACAAATAATATGACACAGAAGATATTAAAAAAAATATAATGGAAAACGTCTGTTGACACTCCCCATTTTATCGCCTTGTGATAACAATAGAAAAATCAAATTTGCAGCGACCAATTATTCATTAGAAGCCTATTCAATGTTGAAAAATTGACCGAAGACGCCAACTTGAAAGAGCTCTTCTTTATGAAAGGTTATTTAAAAATAAAACAATTTCGCATGAAATACAAACTTTTTACATTCCTATCTGCATACAGATAAAGAAAATATAGGAGTCATGATTTTTTCGACGGATTTTTACGTTTTGTTGTCCCCTGAATCCGTTTTACTATTTTCGCGATGATATCTGTGTGTGTGTATACGCGATAACTCATGAACGGATACAGAAAAAAATAGCAAATTTTAAACGTTATTTGACAAAATGTAAAAAAATTCAGATTTTTAAGACAATTGTTTAAATAAAAATTGTTTGTAATATATAATTCTTATCCTGTACATAATTTGTCTAAAATGCACCTTATTCGAGATATTTAAAAAAGTGTAAATTTTGAATAAAACTAAAAAACGGATAGAGAAAATACCAAATTTTAAATTTAGGGTTCAATCCATCCTGCGGTAAAATAATTAAATTTTTGGAAATAGTCGGGAAATCTGGGGGGTACTTTATAGAAGGACGTTTTTCTACTTTATGGAATTTATCTCTTATATACGTTTTGAGAAGAAAATTCTTCAAATAAAAGTTGCTTGTAATGTTATTATACCTATAATTTTCGTTAAATACATAATTTTTGGTTCCTTTATTAATAAATGACTGGACTATAATATAGTCTAGTAGTTTTTCTCCCTATAGAACATTGACATTGAATATAAATAGACAGAGACTTCAATTTGTTTTAGTGAAATTAGAGATACATCAAAGAAATCAATGATATTGCCAAAGTGGTTTGCATTTCTTACTATTTTGCACAGTGGTTTTTCTAATAAGTTTACCAAAATCAATGATGAAAAAGTTCAGGACTTCTTAGATCTCTTTGAGGTACTTTTAAAAGTTTTAAATATAGTTGATATCAAATATCTGGACTTTTACTAATACCATTGATAATCATATATATTTTATAACATCATTTATATTACGCATGTCGGGCCAGGCCCACCAAACTTAGATTATTTGTGTTAATACCAATATTATTTTTATGATCTTAATTAAAAAAAAATATTATAATAGCAAAAATTCAAAACCAAAGGCGGCAATCTCCATTTTTTGCGAAAACGAGTTAAACACCTGGGTATATAGTTTTAAACACCCACATGCGACTAAAATAACAATCGCGAACCTAATCCTTTAAAATTCCATTGACATTTAATGTTGAAATTCAGGGTTAGTCTCAAACCCGGCAATCTCCACGTGCCAGTTGGTACCAAAACCGGCAAAATCCCAAACCGCCAATCAGGTTTCCGTGATAATTGAGTGTTTTAATTTAGCTTAATGAATACTGATTTATATTGTTTATCTGTTTACCTATTAATAAATAATAAAAATCTGATGTGTCCAACACATGACTTTCCTATCTAGTTAACCTATTGCAGCATCTCTAAAAATGTTTAGAGGATAAACTAAATATATACATTTTCCACATACATCTACCTCGAAACATTTTTCTATAGATATTCATTGAAAACGAAAATACTGAAAAATTTTAATTTAGCACTTTTCCTCCAATTTTTCCATTACGGTCCATTTTAGAAAAGTCATTTAAAAACAAAAATTATAGAGATCGATATCGCAACCAACTTTTAGATTAACAATTTTCTTAAAAATCAGAATTTTGCACATTTTGTCAAATTTATCGAATACGGACCATTTTAGGAAAATTTGACATAGAACAAAAATTATAGATAATAATATTGCAAGTAACTTTTATTTAAAGAATTTTCTTCCCCAAACGTAAATAACGAATATATTCCATAAAATATAAAAATGACCACCAATAAAGTACCCCCCCAAATGTTCCGAATCAGTTCACCTCAGGTCGAAATAAAACTTAAGTTTAAAATTTAATGTTTTTTCCTTTATCCGTTTTTGAGTTTTCTTCAAAATTCGAAATTTACACATTTTCTCAAATATCTCGAATACGGTCCATTTTAGAGAAATTATTTATAGGATAAAAATTATAGAGAATTATATTACAAACAACTTTTATTTGAACAATTTTTATAAAAAATTATTTTTTTTACATTTTGTCAAATTTCTCGAATACGGACCATTTTAGGAAAATTTTGCATAAAACAAAAATTATAGATAATTATATAAGAAGTAACTTTTATTTGAAGAATTTTCTTCTCCAAACGTAAATAACAGATATATTCCATAAAATATAAAAATGACCACCTATAAAGTACCCCCCCAGATGTTCCGACTCTGCCCAAAATCTAATCAGCTCATTGGACGCTGAAACAAAGCTTAAGTTTAAAATTTGGTGTTTTTCTGTGTATCGGTTCATGAGTTATGCGACCTACAGACACACACACACAGACATCATCGCGAAAATAGTCAAAACGGATTCAGGGGACCTCAAAACGTAAAAATCCGTCGAAAACAATCATGATTCCTATACTTTCCTTATATCTGTATACAGATAGGAAAGTAAAAATATAAACAACCCTTTAGTATTTTGCAATAGTTAATCTCCCACATATTTAGAATCAAACATATGGCAAAATCCCAAAGTGAGTAGCAAAAGCGGCAATCTCCAATTTTTTTTTCCTTATTTTTTAAAATAACTGACGATTTTTTAATATTTATGCAAGCAGGGCCGCCGAGAGCCATGGTGGGCCCCTGAGCAAAACTCTGGCAAGGGCCCTCCTATCACATATTGTAATCTATTTTTTATCTATAAACTCTTTATGCTCTACTAAAATGAGTGTACTTACTAATTAGGTACTAAAAATGTTTGTAAAGAACCGTAATTTCTTTTTGAATTGCTAGTTTTGATCTTGACCAATTATTGGTGTAGCAGCTGAGAAAAATTCGTCATTTTTAATACTGGAACACACCTAAAACCTTGAACATCGTTTTAAGGTTTGTGAAAGTGTGAAACACAAAAAAATTCACTTTACAAAACTACGAGAAAAGTAGAGTATATTCACAAGAAGCCAAATAGTGGCTCTAAGAAATCAGATATAATAAAATATTTAAAAGATAATAAAATTGATATTCCTGCCTCCGTAAAAGCAAAACACAAATTGTTAAAAGTAAGAATATTCCAATACAGTATAATATTGATAATTTTGTAATTGCACTGACAATCTTGTAACATTGGACTGTTTAAGTAGATTTTATTCATATGACGTCATTTCCCATTCGACCATCCAATTTTAAATTTCAATATTGTGGCGGTCAAGAAAACATCATCCTGTAGGTTCTATTCAAACTAGTCAGCTTACCTAGGGATTTACGAATTGATAGGTGCTTGTAAAGTTTTATTATTTAAGTACCAATCAAATATCAAAATTTATTATAATACTGGCAAGAACAGAACAGGGGGGTTATTCTCTAACTTTCAGCCGAAAACGTATAGCAATGAAAGCGCCAAGCGGACTTCTCAACAAAGTTCGATTACCAAAACGACAAGCATGAGATTATGGTATTCTCTAATGCTAGACGCTTTTGCTATTCGCATGTGATTTTTATTTTTGTCGTAAGCTGTCATAAATGTTGATTGGTCTGAATAACTAAGGTTAGTATTTGAATGTCATTTTGACAATAATATAATTAATAAATCATTAAAAATTAACGCGGTGAAAAATTAACTCTCTAGGGCCCAAAAGCAAGCCCTAATGGAGTATATTGAGGCCAATCCCAATATTATAAAAAGTCAAAAACATAATAACCAGCATATAACTGCTGATTCAAAAAAATGATAAGGATAAGGACTTGATAAATTAAATGCTATCCCCGGAGTAATCAAAGACTGTAATTATTGGAGAAAGGTATGTATTATTGTTTGTAATAATATTAATTAATTAATTAATGGCAATATAAAAATAAATATATTGTATAAATAAATTATTATTAACACCTAACACTTGCAGCTAGAGAAAGTACAAGCTCATTTTAAATAGTTTTAATAATAACAAGAATAAAAAATATGAACGAACTTTTACCTTCATAAATATTATGTATATAATATTACCTATAGTCACGACATAATGACTTTAACGTTGTCTCTGCTTTTAGTCTTGGAATTACATCAAATTCAGAACCAAAGCAAAAAATCTAGAAACAATAAATCCCATATAAAAACGGGTGGTGGACTAGGAGAGATGGGGGAAATTAAAAATCTGAAAGTTTCTGCCAATTTCCAACTGATAACTACCTCCTGCCATGAAACGGAGTGTTGCTAATAACTAGAAGATGAGAAATTTCAAAGTTAATAATATTTTATATCATCTAAATTATTAAAATCTGAGTACTCTTTTCTATTTACAGTCAATGCAGAGTTTATTTGTGGATTCGGCACTGAGGGTTCAATGAGAGCCGCTAAGTTAGTCACATCACCCTTTCGCAAAGTTCGAAAACATTCTACGGGTTATAGTAGTGTCAGATCTTGCGGTTTTCAGCATCTTCGATGTTTTGAAAAACATTTTGATATATATTAATATTTAAGTCCATATTTTAAGTATTTGGCTTATCTACGTCCACAAATCTTAGTCTCATATGTCAAAACTTGAAGTGCGAACAGCAAAACGCTGCTCACCTGTAACTTTTTTGAAAGCGCTTTACGTTTTTCAAATGCGCACGGCACAGCAAGTAGAGAATACCGAAACGTTCGTGCTTAACGCTTTTGTGAGATGTTTGTCGCGTTTCTAGAGAGACGCGCTAAGCGCTTTCAAAAACGTTGGTTAGAGAATAAGCCCCCAGGAGTTTTTCCCGGGTAAGGCTGGCTAGTTTCGAGGGCACTGCAGGTAGACTGGGAAGAAACTAATAAGACAGTTCCTTACCGACTTCGGCCGCGGCATAACATTACAATACTTTGTGAAATAAAATTAAATGCAATTATTAAAATAGAAAAATTAATCATTTTGTTTCTGTCACCAAACAACCCCTCAAATATTTTTTTTAATGTAGATTACTGTTTAGAATTTTTCGGAAAATTATGAATACACCTTATTATCGAAGCTAAATTATGACTGAGGCAGGTTTAAAACTCCTTTACAAATATCGTTGCTTGTCATTGCACTGTTGTAAGACGTAAAATTTCTTCTTACAGTAAAGCGAGATAACGTATATTGCACAACTACCGTAAACTTCAGTCAGAATATTGCATTTCTGCAAAGGGCGCTTAGAATGTAAACTCATGTTGGCTTCAGAAATTTTGAAAACAATTCTATATCTCTTGGTTACATATCTACGAGAAAATGATATCTCGCTTTCATAACTCATTGTTTGAACTACTACCGAGTTGTATATGCTCAGTTTAGAATTGGTAGTTAGTTCTTCGCAAATATAGTTATTTATTATTGTAAGATACTTATACGCAGCCATAACCTCTTTTGGTTCATTTTATAGTACAGTAGATTTGCTTTTTGTTCGTATCTGTCAGAACTAACATATTGATTACATTTTGATTATACATTTCATTACCTTTAATTTTATATAATTAATAGTTGATGAAGTTACAAAGATAATGGATTAGGGAGCATTCAAGTATATAAAAGACTGTCAAATGATACATTGTATAATTAAAATATATGCAACAGAATCACTTAAAACATAACAAATAATATAATTTGTGCTTTTTGAAAGCCGCAATGGTTTTTAGGCACTAAGTTATACTTTTTTTCTCATCATACTTCATCCTGTTAAGTAACACAGGCATAACTGATCCATATTTGGTATATTAATGCTTAAGTATAAATTTTACAAAAGCTCAACAAAAACAAAGAAATAGGCATTTGAAAAACGATGTTGACTACCATAAATTAAACAAATTATTACAATTTACTATAATTTAGTTCTGAATGTAATTTATTTAAATACATTATAAGTAACTGTTATTATACCCACTTGAGGTCGTAACTACTCGTAGATGCCTATGTCTAAGTAACAATAAACAATAATTTATAAAGAATTCCAAAATGTAAAACGGATACAAAGATAACTTGTAAAGGCATTAATAATAATTGACCAAGTATTAAAGTAATGAGGATTAAAGCCATTTAAGTACGTACACTTTTTTAAGAACAATGACTAATACATTTTTCATGATTGATATTTAAAACTTTGACAAAATATAATGTAAACGTAAAATAAACTAAACATTACAAACAAACGATTCTGAAAACATTTTTTAATTCTAAAATCAATATATTCATACACAGGTTGTTTCGTTAGTAAATGTGCATACTGTAATGGTACATTAATGGGTCTTTAAATCCTTATAACCAAGACACCGGATGTTTTATTATTTTTCTTATCTTATGAAACAAACTGACAAATTTATATTAGATCAAAATCTTTAGTTACAATGAATACTGTTCATTTTTCCAAAACAAATATTCTATTACTAAAAATTTCAAGATAAATCTAAATATTTGGACATTTTAAAGATTTTCCAGAAGTTTTCAAATGTTATACAGAGCGTTTGAAAGAAAATTTACGAAAAATTTTTCAAATTGAAGTTTTCAGATATTTCATAACCTTAAATCATCTAAATATATAAATTTACCCTAAATTTTTTACTAATAGAATTGTGGGCGGAAAAATAGAAACTATTCATTATAACTTAATTTTTTCTGTTATTTTGGAATAACATTTTTATTTTCAAAATCTAATATACAGGCGTATTGAGGCAATACAGATTTGTCAGCTTTTACTAATCCCAATCTGGACAACAAATTTTGTTTATACAAAATCTTTTAATACTACAATCGTCACACAAACGCCTATTTAAACAAATACAGTGAGTTTCATAAGATAAGATGAAATGGATGAAAGAACCAGTTACGCAGATTCAAGGACACAATTACTAGTACATTTACTATTATCCTTAAGTTATACACACTTATGAATGAAACACCCTGCATTATATGTATAACGCATTATAACCAGACGTAAGTTCCTAGTTAAAAAACTTGAACTTACCTAATCGGTAAACAAATTTCTTTTTATTAGGCTTAAAATAGACATTACAGTCGGGACTAAAATCACTTAAATAATACTAGTCATGGATCGTTATAATCGATTCTCTGCCTTTGCCTACGCCGATCCATTTCACTGAAAAGAAAAAAATCAAATTAATAAAGAAGAAAATCAATACAATTGACAAAATTTATTTTATTTCTAATTTTGCACACTTACAACACTTTTAAGTCTTCTACTTCATACTTTGTAACATTTAAAAACGATCATGGTTCTAGACTGTGATTACTTAAGTTTTAAGTGAAGTAATGTTACATTTTCCGCTCAGAATTTGGCAGATTATGATGGAAACCTTTGCAATATTGCAGATAAATAGGTTGACAATAATTTAATAGAGGTTTTTGACACGTTGTGTTATGAAATATGAATCTATTCTACAAAAAGTAGTTTTTGTGACCCTGATCCTTTTTGCCTTGTGTTCTTCATTTGTTTTAACGAGTGATCCACAAAAAATGTTTCCAAATTAGTCCATGAACAATAAAGATAGATAGGAGTCATATCTGTGCTAATAGACCTTTCCCGTTATTGCTAATCTCTATTACTCATGCGCAAATTCTACTTCCGCTTAAAATAATAAAAAAATTGTTTTGTTATATCCGAGTATACCGATGAAGGAGAAGCGACAGCTTGGTGTTTTGAGTGTACCGTTTTTGTACGCGTATGTGCGAAAATAAAATCATGTTATCTGTCAAAGTTGTGTTTAGTCCGTGAGCTAATGTGATATTTATTAGCTTTTCTTTTTTACACACATATAGTGGGGTTGCATAAAAGAAGATTAAATTTTTAATCCAGGATAGTACATTATATCTATGGCTATTTTTTATCTCTAGATTAGAAAATCCTATGATTTTGTGAAATTTTAATTCTTTGATCCATCAAAATAGTCATCATTTATTTTGGATTGATGTTTAACTTCGAAAAGTTAACAAAATGAATGTAAGCAAGCGTGAAAAGTGAAAGAACTTTATTGAATACTGAATTAGGCAATATAAATTTATTAAATTTTACCAATATAATTAGTCAAACTTCAAATTAATTTATACAAATGTCAATATAAATCCTTCAAATAATACAACCCAAATATGGCATTAGCTTGGATAAAAAATCTGAGATTTAAATATTCATGAATAAAATGTATTAGCCTGGGTTTAAAATTTAATCTTCTTTTATATAATCTATTAGGTATTATAATAGAGACAGAATATGGCAAAAAAGTTATTAGGAAACTAAGAATTTTATCACATGTATAAGGCTAAAGACACACACGGCCGAGTCGGCCGCTGGCTGTCTCTGCCAAAAAAACACACGAAGCGGTTCACAAAAAAGTAATGTATTTGAGTCGAACGACGGTACGCTCGGCGGTGTAGCGTCGCTTTCTCGCAGCGTAGTAGTGTGAACAACTCCATTTATTTACATCACAGCATCCGCCGAGGTGGCGGCCGACCCGGCGAAAACAGCCGTGTGTGTCTTTAGCCTAAATATTAAGTATAATAATTAAATAATTTTTGATATTTTATTTTTCATAGGAAGGTATTGGATTTTGTGAAATATATGTTTGTCTTCAATTAAATAAATTTAATAAACAATGAACTGCAGATTTTGTTTATTTTATTTTGAGATTATAAATAAAAACTTATAATAAATCTGCGAGATTTCCTTGAGAAAGGTCTTTCAGTAGTTTCAGTTAGGATTGGTCAAAGTGGACGAAACCCCTTTATTATGGCTAAATTGTAAGTTACAATTATGCCAATTTAAAGATGTTTTGCCCATTTTAACCAACTCTATATATTCATATTTACATTTAATGAATTAATCATTCTGGATTTGATTTTGGAAATATTGGTAAATACTTAAATAAGAACTATTTCTAAAAATTTGTCTATGATAGCCAGGCCAGATATCCTCTTTATGTGACCCGATTTCTTATGTCATTAGTGTCAATTTTATTTTGTCAAGTTGGTTGCACTTCCCTTGTATGAACGGCCGATACAGCTGTAGGGTGATCACCACTCTCACTGACACCTACAGCCATAAGCAGCCTATCTCTTTCTATAATTAAGGTAGAGCAACTTTAATATAATTTGTAAAGTAATAAAGTTTGTTATATATTTTTATTTGTTCACCTGACAATTGACTGGCCTGTTGGTTTATATCCAGTGCCACTAACTTAGTTTAAAAAAAAAAAAAAAAAAAATCTCTTTCTATAATAAATAAGATTTATTTTTATGTTGGCCGGCAATTAAACCCCGGGAAAAGTGTCTGCCTTTTGGAATTATTTTTTTTTTATATTTAATTAAGACGCTATTAAAATTTGAGCGTGAATCAAACACTTTTTTGGGTCATATTTTACGACCCCTTTCTATTATGCGCAGTACCTGGTGTCCCGGGGTAGGTCAAGCCAACACAGGTATATCTGCTTTTCCATCCAAATGATTTCAAATTACAAAATTTCAAAGTGCATCAAACATCAAACACAATAAAATGTGTGTTACTGGCTCTCCGGCTATATAGGCGGAAAGTTACTTTTTCCTCACGCCTATTTTCATTAGGAAAAGTAGTTATTATAAAACGAATCGGTATTTTAAAAGAAAATGTAGACTAATCTGAATCTTTTAGTTGAACATTTAATACTCAAACTCATTTTCCTTAATATTTAAATGATAATTAAAATATTAAAAATAGCCTAGCGCGTTTGTCTTTGAACTAATGGTCGTGAGTTCAATCCTCACCAGTTATTATTTATCTTCTTTTTTTTTTAAATTTGATATTTTTGTTTGTAAAATGAAATAAAACTTTAAACACTGTATGAGCCATTAATTTGTGATTTGAGTATTCTCTTGTAAGTTATTTTTAAGATGTACTTATTAACAAATATTTTTTGTGTATCATAAAAAAAATCCTAGAGTAAGCAGGCAACATAATATCCACAACATATTTTTCGTTTGCTAGTCAAGTTAGTCGTGTCTGTCAGATTAACGTAGTAAGATTTGAATTCGGCAAAATAAAACTATATACTTTTAATATCGGGTGATCGTAAAAAAATCTTGTTTGTAATTCGAGCGGAAAGCTATTTGCTGCTTACGATAAAATGCCGCACTCCGCTGCTAGTCGCGCGGCAACTTTTTATCTTAGGCGGCAAAGTAGCACTTTCCGCTCTTAATACACAAATAACTATTTTGACCTAAAAGCTTTGAAAATAAGCACTTTGCAAATAGTTAGTTAAAAGCTCAAACTAGTGTCGCCTCTCCTTGATCGGTATTCTCGGGTTCCTACCCCGAGTTCCATTTATACATCCGCAAATGTTATTTTGTTTTTGGATTTGATAGTATTGGTAGGGTAGCTAGTTACACTTTTAAGTGTGTTATTTAGCCAAAGGTAAACTTTTAAATATTTCGTTCATTCTTCCCTTGTAGAACATGGAAATAGTTTGTTGCGCAGCGATGGAGCCCTCGACGATGACGTTTTAAAAAAACCCTGTGTAGAAAATCATGCCATAGAAGCGCAAACTTGAAATTTTTAGATATTATTTGTTAGTAAAAAGGTTGCTGCCACCTTCTTGAAATTAGGCTCACAGTACTTTCTTGCTTGCTAACAAGGCATTTCACCGCTAGTTCGATTGCAGCAAAGTATTCCATCTTCTACAGGTTAAGAATTAACAATACATTTGTAATTTGTACTGTATAGCAAAAAGTTTTAGTGGCTCCCTACTACAAAGAATCGATGACATTTGTTTAAAGTACCGATCGTTGCAGCCAATCCAACAGTTGTAAAGCGAGGATGAGAGAGAGAGATAGCAAAAAGTGTTTGGAAAATTACTAGATTCAAAATTCTCGCGATTTTTCGCGCATGGATAATGCGAAATGGCCGAATAATGGAAAAGGTCAATTGCTCGCGCCTCTGAATTGAATCCAACTGGTAATTTAAAAAAGAAGAATCCTACGCTCCGATATTAGCGTTTTTCCATGGTTTACTTTGGAAAAAATATTATGAATTTATAAAAGAAATATAGTCCGATGTTTTAAAAAACAAATGAATATATCTCCAAAATATCCAGATCAATAACTCATTAATGAAAAAAATTTAAATGTTTACCTGGTACATTTAATAGTTCCTCAACTTTAATAACATAGTTCTTAGCTTCTGCAGGCAAATCTTTGAACTCCCTTACATCTTCAATATTCTCCTTCCAACCAGGCATGGTTAAGTATTCCACCTTAATTATACAAAAAATTAAGAGTTTTAAATAATTGGCTGAATTTAAAAAAAAAACGTCTAAAAGTTGCTATAAACAATTAAAATTATATTAACAAATAATATTATATTAGTTATTTTTTATTTAATGCTCAATACTGCAGTTCATATTCCTTTAGCAGCTTTCGAGTCATCTTTCTTTTTTCAAATTAAGAAATTTTGCCTTTAAAAGCTTGAAACTTTCTTCATCTAGATTTTTTTATGAAGAAGTAAAAAGTTGCTATTAAAAACAAAATTTGAAAAGGGAGATAAGGGAGATAAAGATAGGAAACGCCCATAAGAAGCCAATGCTTAACAACGACCAGCTTTATCGCAGTTAACATCTGACCCACTATGTGGCGCTTTCATCGATATCAAACAACGCAGCGGGAAATTTAAACACCTGATAATAAAGGTTGCATAAATATCGACTGCACTCTCATGTTCTTGTAAATAAACTTAAACAATGTAATTACGCTAAATTATTTATTAAAAAGAATACTACACTTACAATATCTTATTTAAAAATGTTGAGTGCAAATTCAATAATGAGAATTTAGATATTTTTCTTCCTATATCAAATCTTCTTTCTAACGTTTTAAAGCCATTTTATTGTTCTAAAACAATAAATAATACATAAACATCTACTTTTTTATGACAAAAGTTGATTACTATTTGTGTTACTTACATGAAAAGATCTTACCTACTTTGGTTAATTAAAGAACGCCACATTGGATTTGTTAAATTTGTTCATGCGGCATGTGTTACTAATGCAATACGTTCTCCGACTTATTGTATTATTACAAAATATAATTATTGTCCTTAAATTTCACACAAAAACAGCCACAACTATTTCGCTTAGTTCATCTAGAGGATAACACAATCATGAACTCAAAATTTAATCTACCGTCTGTCTCAGTGTTGCCAACCGTACGATTTAAATCGTATTTATACGATTTTTTAACTCTCTGTACGATGTACGATTTCATCAGTGAAATCGTACGTAAAAATACGATCTTTACTTTTTTAGTAGGTTTATTTAAATATCTGCAACAACTTCAGAACATAAAACAATAAAAATTAAAAACTACTTGCTAAGATTCATAGGCCGTTCGTAATTTCTGAAGGCAGTCATTTTCGTTCTGACTTATCGTGATTTTAACCATGGTGATTTTGTACACCGACTATCACTTTCAAGTGACAGTCATTGATTACTTTAGATGTGTTAATTTAAAGTTTCATATATTTTCTTTAGTTTTTTTTCGTTGTAAACATTTTTATAAATAGATAAATAAATTATCACATCAAAGCTTTTTTTAATTCCATTTAAGTTATATTATGCTATGCATGTATCTATTGTACAATTATTGTGTCGAAATACCATTTTTTACTCTACTTGTACGATCTCTCAAAAAAAATATTTGGCAACACTGGTCTCTCTACAAACGACGTAGACCTGTAGTTAACATCTGAGACGCTAGATGACGCCATCGTTGCTGCGGTCGTTGCGTTTCCAATCTTTATGTCCCTTATCTCTGATTTGTTCATTATTATTGCTTTATAAAATTTCTATTTTCAGTTTTTTTTTTTTTAGAAATGATGTACACATGGAAAGGCGACCTTAAATTCACTCAATTAATTTCTAACAAGATTAAATGTATTGTGACAATAAACAAGCAATTGTTTATACATTTTATTCATATACTACCTTTCCTAAACGTTTCATCATATCAGAAATAATCTTAGTGATTTTACTGTCGCCTCTTGGTCTAGTAGCTTTTCAAAATTCAAAGTCTGATACCATAATTTTATTTTGAGCTCTTAAAAATTTCGAAATTGTCTAATTTTAGTTCAAGAAGGGGGATCTCGATAAAACAGATTTTTTAGTGATATTCTGGCAACAAAGAAGCTATATAACATATTGATTTTTTTTACCTCAACCTCATTAAGGTCTGATGCAGTCGAAGGGAAGTATTCAATCTTTTTGCCCCTCAAAGTGTAACCTACGGCTAATTTAATTTCAGGTAAAGTGTCCAGAATGTCTAATTTGGTGAGGCACAAGGCGGTGTACCCGTTTATCATATTAGTGTATTGTAAAAGGACTATATCTAACCAACCGCAACGACGTTTTCGCTTGGTGGTAACACCGATTTCACCTCCGCGAGATTGCATTAAGTCGCCAATGTCCTGTAAGAATAAAAATATGTTGTTAATACAGTGAATAATTCAAATAAAACAAAAATGAACTAGACAACTAAAAATTGTAAAATTGATTTTATTTAGATCTTTTCTGTGCCTAATTTTGTTTATAAGAGTTTGTGCTACTCACAAATGATTTTATTGTAGACGGCACAATAATAAATATATTTTATTATTTTTTATTTACCAAAAGGTACAAAGTTTTTGATAAAAATATAAAGGATTCAACCAGAAAAAATCTAAAAGGTCAATAAAACCGAACTTTTATTATATTTGCATTTTAAAAATGCATTATGTTTCAAATACGACGATCTGCATGAAATCGTTTGTTAATTAGGTAATAATATATTAATAGCAGATTTTATGTATCAACTACGTAATCTTTTCATTAGTCTATTTTTTCTGTATTTTACGAAACGGTCAACTTTTTAGATTATATTTTTTAAAAACGAATTTCGATTGGGTCTATGTACCCTCTCAACATTCTAAATATTATTTATATTCCTTACATCATGCAACTCCGTAGGAAAAGGTCCATCTCCAACTCTAGTCGTGTATGCCTTAACAACTCCAATGACATCTCCAATTCTATGAGGAGAGATTCCAAGACCAGTGCAAACGCCACCGACACTGCAATTGGATGACGTCACATAAGGATAAGTACCTGAAATAAGAGACTGTAGGAAAAAAAAACAGATTTGTCATTAATAATCTTGAAAATGTTACCGAGTTTTCTCAAGTAAACTAAAAAATTAATTACGTAGGTCGATTATATTGGAAGAGCTAATGTGTTTAATCTCAAATTAAATTATAAAAACACAATCAAACCTTACATTATGACAGAAGATTCGTTTTCAAAATCTTAATTTTTGTTTCTTGCTTTTTTTTAATATAAAATATATTGGTTTACGGCGAAAAGCGGATCGACTAAATACAAAAGATCGACAGGTTTGTTCCCCCTGTCGTAAAAGGCATCTAAAAGTGCAACTACAAAAAGCGCATATAGAGATAACTCTTGGTGAGGTTATCAACTACTTTTAGAACAATAGGCTAGTTGACGGGTCCAGGTAGGTGCGATTTCGAGACGTTATTTACTTATCAACTGCTTTAAAACAGTTAGCTAGTTAAGAGGCAATATCATCGTATCGAAATATTCCATTACAGATTGTAGGTAAAATCAGATAGCAAGAATGTAGGAATTTCCTGAAGTCAATAACGTTTGGCAACCTTGTAACAACAAAGTGGCGAAGAGGGTAGTATCGCATTACATTTGGTCCCTGTTCAGGTACATATAACAAATAATAGAAATGGATAAAAATTTCAATACATTTGTCGTGATATATTAATTATTAAATAATTAAATATATAAACAATATTTAGCAACAAATGTGTCGAGAGTTATTTTACTTTCAAAATATGATTTAAATAAAAAAAATCTGAATTTTTAGGTCCATGTAATTTCTATGAGTCCTACCAAAGCAGTTATTATTTACCATTTGATTTTGACTAAATTATAATTTATTATTAAAATATTTATAAATAAAAAAAGCTATATTAAAACAAACATCCTGTTAAATAACAACGAAAGACATGATATATATTTACATATTTAAACAAGATGATTTCATTTTATTTATTAAATTTCTTGGAAATCCCCAAATCAAAAATTACTCCTATGAAATAATGAAAATTATTTTTGAACCCCAAAAGTGAAAACAAATTTAACGAAAATTGAAAAAATACAGTCCACGCGAGGATTTATAATAAATTTTTTGTTCGAAAAATAATTTGTAACGTCAAAAACAATTTACGACAATATCAGAAGTTGCTATCATTCAACAAGGTTAGGATGTACTCCACAAGACAATAACAGGAAATCCCCCTAACATTTTCACAAGGAATTAAAAAATAATTGAAAAAAAGAAGCCGAGATTTGCGAAAGTTTAGAAAGAGAGAAAGGAACGATGGACACAAGGGCTACGGACAAAAAATGGATATGCCCTTCCAGAAAGGGAGTATGGTAACATCGACGAACCTATCCCTGGTATGGCTAAAGATGATTATAATTTGAAAGAATTCCTAAATAACTTAAAAAAAAAGCAAGAAGAAAATGATAGAATTGAACATCTTACAAAGGAACAGACCTCTTGCATTCTATGGTTAAAAAAAGGCAAAAAATGATTACTGTATCAAATTTTGGAAAAATTTGTAAACAATAGATATTGTATGCAACACGTTACGAAATGCCTTATTTTATGTAACGAGTTACATAAAACGGCATTTCGTAACGTGTAGCATACAATATTTTTTTTGATTTAGATTTATAAAATTGTGTTTTAGTAAAACATTACTGACATCTAGGCAACCAATATTACTACTTTATAGTATTGTTAGTTGCATATGCATAATTTTGTTGACAAATAGAACATATTATTTTTTATTATCAACGACTTGCAGTGTTTATATGGCTTATTAAAGTTATTCATATTAAAAAAGTGGGTTATTTTGTCCTGTATTGTGTTTTAATTATATTCTGCTGATTTAGAATGGAAAATAAGGACCAAAATAATATTATTACTAGGTTGTAAGTTTAACCAAATTCTATTTTTATAAGTCAGCCTTCCCTTCTGTAACCTACCTCGCCCAGGTATCTTCATAATTTATTAATTCCATTTTATTAAAAACAAGATGCATTCTTATTAAATTCAAATTCCTACATTTAACGAAAATTATTATTATAAATAAAAGCAATATTTCTGTTCGGGGTGTCTCTAATATTATAGAAAAGATAAGAAGTTATCCCATGAGAATCAGATCCAACATTATCCATAAACATATTTCTTTTCACGAAGTAATCATAATTAAAACACTTAACTCGCTTATCTTTCTAGTTTCGAGAAGTTCTCAAGGCACATAATAAATTTACCACCCATTTTTCCACCCAAAATTCGTTCCCAGGCGAAGCTACGAAAAAGCCATTAAAACGGGTATAAAGACCCGAACTTAATGAGCTCGAGATTCATTCATTATGATTTTATATAGAATCCAGATTATTTTATATTCAGTACCTTTCTTAAATCGACGCTCCCTTTGTCGCGCAGCACCACCAAGTATTTTCTACCGTATATGTCCCGACGCAGTACCGTAATAAATACCTTCCTCTCCACCACGACGCTAGGCGCCTCGACGCAAGGCGACGCTCAATAAATACATGTCTACTACAGACGAATCTAATGTCTGTATTTTCAATGAAGAGTCAAAGGATATATGTAACTGTCTTTGAGATACAACCGGGGTTTCGTTTGAATAAAGGCCTGACATTTGCTTCAAAATATTATCAATGTAACCAATAAACCATATGACTTTCGGGCATTCACCCCGAAAGACAGTTTGGATATGTTTTTCGATGGGTGAATTTAAGTTAATTCAATAGAAATAATAAAAATCAACATTTAGAAATATACAGGGTTGTATTAAGTCATTTCAATAGAAATTGTAAAAATCAATACTTTAAAAATATAGAGGGATGTATTATCTTGTATAAATTATACAAACCGAGATGGTAACATTTAATAGTAAGTTAACCAACTGGTTAGTCGACACTGTTTGTTAGCTCAGGGGGGCACCTTATACTAAGCCACCCATTCTACTAGGTTTGAAACAAAGTATATGTAAAATCAACATAGTAAGGTAACCAACTGGCGAATTAACGCTGTTCGTTACTTCCGTTGGTCATCACCTCTATACTCGTCGAAATAATTACCTAAAAGGGTACAACCTGTGTATATCTAGAATAGAATCAAGCTAAATAAAAATATAAACATCAAAACAGTAGTTAACCAACTGACGAATTGACGCTGTTCGTTAACTCCGTTGGTCATTAAGCTAAATAAGAATATAAACATCAACACAGTAGTTAACCAACTGACCTGACGCTGTTTGTTAACTCTGTTGGTCATCAACCTAAATAGAATATATCTTGATAGCAAATGAACGTGGTCTGCGTTTGAACGGGACTCAAGTGAGATCTCAGTAAATAGTTCATATTAATTGTAATATACTTTGTTAATTATTGCTTCACATTTAAAGCATGAAAAATAAAAGGGTTTAAATATAAATTTGTCTGGTTTTATTTATCAGTTTGCACCAAACTTTGCATCGAATGCTGGTTTACCTTAATGAATATTATCACAACGTGGGCATATAAATTATCATTTAATTAACTAGACGATTTCTACTACTAGATAAAAAAGGAATAAAGTGAGCATAGAATTTAGAGTAAAATAAACTTGTGAGGTAAATAAGATTTCAGACGTTAAAACAACAAACAAAAAGGGGTACCGGTGGTGGGCCGTTACACTTTTTTGATATAAACTTTCAATAATAACGTATATTATTGATTTTAAAACAAAAAATGGTTAATTTTTAATTGTTTTCATTTCACAACTGGTGACATAATGAATTTTTCGACATCAGTTTCACAATGTTCAATATTATGCAACTAGTTGCGTAAAGTAGATCATTTTAACACTTACTGCGATTACAAAAGACGCCACTTTATGTCAAAATTAAAAAAAGGATTATTATACAACAAAATTTAAAAGTAATAACGCAATCCAATATGGGAAATTAAACGAACCGTTTGCAGTCGATGATTTTGAGGCAAAGTTCAATCGGAAAGTAAGGAAATATAGTAAGGAACCTAGATAAAGAGTATAGTTTTTTGGGTGCTATTCCTGATTAATTGGTTGATAACGCCATTCTGGAAATAAAGTTTCCTTTCAATATCAATTGACATGGACATGGGTCCAGAAGAGGGGATTATTATTTCCAAGTTCAAGGGCAATTGGCAATAACAAAAAAGAGAAATGTTACTTCATTATACGGGGTTCAAATGGTTGGAAGAGGTAATTACTAATCTTTTTTTCATTTATCAATACGTTTATTTTTTGTAGGCATAAGATTTCTGGTGGAATGAAAAAATCATTCCGAAATTACAATATTTTTTTAAATTGTCTTCTACCGGAGCTAGTTGATCTAAGAGCAACAAGGAGCTTAGTGATAAGAGAAAATTCACAAATACATTTGAGAAATAAAAAATAAATGTAAATACAAAAAGATAAATAAATATTGCATATAATAGATGATTATTTTTGTTATATTGCATGTCCAACCATGCCTCCTTTCATTTTTCCCAAAACAAAAAATTCTAAGTTGTTATGGTATATTTTCATTCTGAAGATTATTTTTTAATGAAGGCACCACCTATTTTTATCATATAAAGCCGCAATTATATTTTTTGTTTGCTTACCACAATATCCAAAAGCGATAAATAAAATACAATGTTTATGAAAATTACTAATTATTTGATATAGAAAAATACGTCATTCCTATAAAATTATATAAATAAGATTTTTTATCATAAATATTTATAAAAAAAACTGATGTTTTTTTTAACCATTAATGTTTTTAAAGTGTAGGTGATTTTATCAATAAAAACTTTGATTAAATCGCATGATTATGCTTGTATAAAAATTATTTAATAACTTAAATTTGCTCTGCTAATTCTATTAACATAAATGATGTAATATTTCTATTCCAAAAAATATTTAGAATGAACTGCAAAAAGTTTCATGAAAATCGAATGAATAATAAAGCAACTGGACTTTATTTCAATTTAGATGTCCTGATTGCTCTTAGAAGAGGCCACTTTACAACTGGAGGGTGAGCCTAATGAGGCCTACTAGATTACCCACCTTCCAAACGCCTCTCTCAATATCAATATAACTTAAGTTTTACTTTAAACATGTTTTATTATTCTCTTGACATCTACACACACATAACTTTATATTCAAGTGAATAGTAAATAATAATACACATTATCTAATCAAAGGAAACAACTATTTGAATAAGCTGATAATTTAAAAATAATGTATACTTATCGTTGAATGATTTATTATATAAATTATTAAACATTTCTTTAGAAATATAAATCATCTTTATTACATATTCTGGTAATATGGTAATTTTATTGAAAACGCCAAGTATGCAGATATTATTTTTTAGTTAGATTAATGCGCCCAAAAGTTATTTTATCTTTTTTTATAAATAATTAGAAAATATTGGTAATAAGCTGACATAAACAAACATATCTTCTCAAGTTCTAAACTTTGTTTGCTAACGTACCCGCGCGAAAATAAACACGTCATTTCTAAAAATAGAATTCGGCATCGAAATATATCCGCAACTATTTGGAATCTATCTCTCTCTTACTACAAAACATTTTATTACACACATGCAAAAAAACCATTAAAAACTTTAACAAGTTTAATTTGTCAGACCACTGAAAACAGTGACAACACTTCCTGTGGATACTAAACACATTTATTCCTTATCTGAATATAAGAGCTTACACCTCGAATCTTGCCTCCAAACAGTGACTTAAGAGATCTCTTTGGGTGGATAAATACAATATTTTCTGAGATTAACCAATATAAAAAAATCAAAATCAAAAAATTTGTGGAGCCGACCTTTTGTTTTGTGATAGTACCTCCGATTTCATTTAATCAGCAATATCATGCAGAGACGATTTTTCGCCAGCCAAAGATGTGTAATACATCAGTTAACAACATTCCATATCAAAAAGAATGATTGAAACAAGCGTTAAGTGCAAGTTGGTAATAAAGTGACACAATTCAAAAATCAGTATTAAAGTTTTAGCTTTTTTAATTTTGATGTTCCAAATGTCATTTGAATAACATTAATGAGTTTGGCTGTGATCACAGTGAATTTTTCGGTACCAAATTTTTGTAGCCTGGCACATTTAACGAAATTAATTAAAAATGGAGAGTCTGTAGTGGTATATCTCAAAATACGCCATTAATGCTTAAACAAATCTTTTCTATTGTTGTTATAAAATAATTAAATTAATTTCGCCCAGTACATTAACAAATCTGAATACAAGTTTATTTATCGGCAGTTTTTTCTTATCTTAACATCTCAGTAAGCAATTTTGTAATATGAAAATACTTTGGAAAATTCAGAGGTTACGCAGGTTCATTCTTGTAAGAGGCACATGACTGGGGTTTGGGATGGTGAAGTAACAAGCGTTATTTTGAGATTGGACAGTTCACGAGTGATACTTAAGCTCGTTAGCGTATCTTATTTCAAGAGGGCAATTAGATCGTCCTCCTAGATTTTTTCCTCTGTAGCTAAAGTACTACTTTGTGCGCTTGGTTTAAATACGTGATTAAACTCTGTGTCCAACTTGACTTTATCACTCCGTAAAAATGGCTTATCGCCCGGCAGTAATAAATCACAATTATAAGACATTAAAAAGTAAATGTGTATTCACTTCTGAATGATAAAATAATGTGTTAATTAAAAGGAATAATAGTATACAATTGCAGCCAAACAATTCGAACACATTACCTATACTTAAGTCTTACTATTCAAAAATATTAACACACACATTTTGAATAAACCATTTTTTAATTTTTTGAACATTAAACTTTATTTATATACTAGTAAAGTTATTTTTTAACCTTATTCTACTCCCATCTCCCCTATGGGTGCAATATAAACCAATAATTACGCTGAAAAGGCTATTGATTTTAATAATATTTATTTGTAAAGGTAGTCACTAATAAATACAAAATTGATTCGCATACAAGGAAATCAAACAGTTTTTTTATCATTTAGCATCTTGACGTAAAACAAAAAAATTAAAATTAAATAAAAAATATGTTGAACATTTGCAGCATACGTAACTATGTCAACTTTATTCAACTAGGTATAATGTTACACTGGGAATGAACTTCCATCAGCTTTTATCACAAATATATTTAAAAATATAATGTTTAAATATTATAGTACTAAATACGATTATGTAATTCATGTTTGTGAAAAAAGAAATGTGCTTTCCTCCGACATATTCAGGTAGTCAGCGGCAATTAATAGTTTACCATTTATAAAAAAAAAAAAAAATGAAAAGACGGCGTCTCCACCACATGCTACGGAGTGGGGTGTTTTATTTACCCCGTCAGCGTAGCCACTGACTACCGGAACGGGATAGAGAACACAGAAAAATGAACCAGTTTACAAAAACAAAGATATTTCTCACAAACAACTGTAAAGTAAAAACCTACTTACATTTCATAGGGGTCCCTTTCTTCACTGAAGAGACACAACACTATATTTTCAATCTTTTACACAATCAGTGATCGCAGTCAAGTGCCCCTCACAAGAAAGACCCCCTGTTACCTCTGAATTCCCCAGAGTATTTACATATTGCAAAATTGCTTACTTAGAAGTTAAAATAAAAAATATGATATGTCCAACACATGACTTTCCTGTCTTACCTTATTATTATAGGCTTTTCCGGTTATTCTGTACAACTTATTGTATCAACCCTGTAAATGTTTAGAGGGTGAACTAAATACATACATTTTCCACACACATCTTACCTTTTATCCGTTTTTAAATTAACAAACAGACACCATCGAGAAAATAGTCAAAACAGATTTAGGGGACCCCAAAACGTAAAAATCCGTCGAAAACTCGAGTTCGAAAAAATCATGATTCCTAAAATACTTCCCTTCTGTATGCAGACAAGAAAGAAAAAACTACTGATAATTAAACTGTTATTTGGATTTGTTAATGTCCTGTGATTTATTATTTTAATAACGTAACCCTAACTACTCATTCGAGCCACTATTGCTCAAACATGACAACTCTGGGTAGAGTTTATGCCAATTTTGTAACCTGCTTCGCCCAGGTACCTTCATAATTTATTAATTCCATTTTATTTAAGAAAAGTTGCATTATTATTAAATTTAAATTCCTACATTTAACGAAAAATGTTTTAGATAAATCCTATCTATGATGCGTAATAAATAAAAGTAATATTTCTGTTCGCGGTGTCTCTAATATTACAGAAAAGATAACCATGAGAATTCTATCTAAAAACCTCCATAAACATATTTATTTTCACGAAGTAATCATTAAAGCACTTAACCCACTTATCTTTCTAGTTTCGATGTTAAGACCGATTTTCGACAATATTTCGATACAAAATTACGAGAAGTTCTCAAAGCACATAATAAATCTACCATTCCTTTTTCCACCAAAATTCGTTCCTACCGAAGCTACGAAAAAACTGACGCCACAAAACGCCTTTAAAACGGGTATAAAGACCCGAACCCAAGGAGCTCGAGATTCCTTCATTATGATTTTATATAGAATTCATTTTATTATTTTATATTCAAGCATTCATTTTATTATTTGTATCCAGTTCCCAGTTTGTATTTCCCAAACGCTGTCACGTCTCTCACCACTTTAGTATTTCCTACCTTATATCCATCAATTCCGACGCTCAACGTCCCACCGCTCTACTTCTCGACACTTGCCTAAATATTCCCTTCATAGTATCCTTGTCGACACCCTTCGTCCCTTAGCACCACCTAAGTATTTCCTACCGTATATCTGTCTCGATGCAGTATAGAAATAAATACCTTCCTCCCCTTCACGACGCAAGGCGACGCTTAATGCTGCGACGTACCTAAATCGACGCCGTCACAACGCTAGATACAATTAATACATAATGCCAAGTATAGACGAATCTAATGTCTGTATCTTCAATGGCGAGTTAAAAGATTTATGTAACTTTCTTTGAGATATCACCAGGGTTTCGTTTGAATAAGAGCCTGACATTGGCTTCAAAATATAATCAATGTAACCAATAAACCACATGGCCTTCGCCCCCACATCTGTTTTTCAATGGGTGAATTCGCGTATTTCAATAGAAATTATAAAAATCAATATTTAGGAATATACACTGTTGTATTAAGTTATTTCAATAGAAATTATAAAAATCAACCTAAGAGGGTTCAACCTGTGTATATCTAGAATAGAATCAAGCTAAATAAAAATATAAACATAAACTCAGTAGTTAACCAACTGGTGGATTGACGCTGTTCGTTAACTCTGTTGGTCATCAAGCTAAATAAGAATATAAACATCAACACAGTAGTTAATCAAATGGCGAATTGACGCTGTTCGTTAACTCCGTTGGTCATCAAGCTAAATAAAATATATCTTGATAGCAAATGAACGCAGTCTGCGTTTGAAAGGGACTCAAGTGAGATATCAGTAAATAGTTCATATTAATTATTGTATTATACTATGCTAATTATTGCATCACGTTTAAAGTTAGTTTTGTTGGATGAAACTTGAACAAATTTCAAATATAATGCAAGTATTTTACAAAAAAAATAATTTTGTTGAGATATCCCACTATTGTCGCCGGTGAGCGATATTATAAAGGGAGTATATTTATGTGAATTTTATAAAAATGCATAATTGTCACTGTTAGAGCCATAACAAAATAGGATACATTTACAGGTTGGAGAATCCAGTGTGTAAAATTTATTATTTTTAAATGTAAAATTGTGAAAGTTTTATAAATAATATAGACACTATAACACATTGCATTAAATTAAAAAAAAAAAAGAAAAACAACTTACCAAAATCAATGTCTAACATGGCTGCGTTTGCACCTTCCACTAACACCTTCTTTCCTGTTCTTATTGATTTATCTAGGTAAGAAACAGTATCCCTCACTAGTGGTCTGATTCGTTCTGCGTATTCTTTATACCTTAGCAATTCTGAATCGAAATCAACTTTCAGTGAAGGAAACATTCTTTGGTACATGTTGACCAATTCTTGAAATCTAAAAAAAGTTGGATGGTGAATACTTTCCGATGCTTCAGAGATAAAATCAATAATTATTGATTCACCAACGTCAGTACAAATAGGGTGTGAACTCATAGCAATTATCTTAAGACAATTTTTTTAGAAAATAAACGATAATTTACTTACTTTTTGGTAAATTGTGCAAAATTTCCTAAGAGATCTCCTATTCTGATACCATTTCTGGTAGCTTTTGAAGAATATGTTGGACCTATTCCCTTTTTCGTTGTTCCTAAACCTTGCCCTTTCTGATTATTTTCATGTTCTTGTAGACCATCAACTTGTTGATGAAAATCAAAAACAAGGTGTGCCCTATCTGATATAATCAACCGTTCTTCCCAATTTTTTAGGCCTTTTTTTTCATTTTTTTCAATTTCATCAAACATACCTGGCAAGTGTATGACAACTCCATTTCCTAAAATATTTCATTCAATTTACTGTAAATATTGTCTTAGTAAAATCGTTTCTATCGTTTTTTTTTAACCGACTTCACAAACAGAAGATTTTAAATTCGTCGGAATATTTTTTATGTATGCTCAATAATTCTTTACCACGTTGTCCGATTTCTGATTTTTTGTTTTGTTTTGGTACCTCAGAGGTTGACTCGATCAAGATCTTATGATAGGATCTATGAGAAAATCAGCAAACTCAATTTGCAATGGCATTTGAACGATTTTAGAATCGTTTTTTTTATACAAGTTTTTTTAAATAACTATATATAACTATGTTTTGTTTCTGCACTTACTACATAGTTACTAAAAGTGAAAACAACTCCTATATGGCAAATTTTGGAATGAAAATTATATTAAAGGTTTCTTTTTTTAACTAACGTCGGTTAATATCTAACTACTAGTTTTAAAATTGAATTGTTGGATGCAATTTGGTGATTTGTATGAAAATCGTAATTAAATTAATTGACCTGAAATGATTATAAATAATTTTAATAATGTTAATTTACCTCATTTTTTTTCTATAAAAGTAAACAATCTCTTACACTGTATTAAACATATTTCTCTGTTTATAAATAAGTGATAATAAATAATTTTATCATATACAATGAATCATTCTATAAGTAGATTGTTTTTTGTATATTACCAAAGTTTTAGGAACATAACATTTTTGACATATAGGTATCATAAAAAAAGTTCACACCCCTCCCTTCCCAAATATTTTAAGAGGTGAGAATTTCCAGTTTTTGATATATACCTAAGTACTGTGGTGGAGAGACCAACTGGATTGTAATAATATAAAATTAAAAAAATGATTTTCCTTACTGGTTTAACAGGAACAGGACTATACAGGATCTGGTGTGGGTATTCTGGATGCATTAAGGATTCTTAGGAGATTCTCTAGGTAAAACTTTAAACAAATCCTTTAAAAAACAATTTTAAAACTTACCTATGATTGATTTGGAGTTGGAATGAATAATTCCACTGGGAAGGAGGTGGAAATCATACTCAACTCCGCCAATCACAACAGTGTGACCAGCATTGTTGCCACCCTAGAAAAAACATAAAATTTATAAAAATCAAAAAACAACTCTTAATACCTCCGATAGTAAAATGATAAGTTAAAACAATCCTAATATTTTTTTGGAAATTCAAATGACATTAAGGAGATGAGATCTAATATACACACAACCAAACTTATATGGAATCATCTAATATTTTTCATAATTTTTGAGATGTATGAACATTTTTTGTTTATGAATAGAACTGTCTACCAAATACTTTTAATGACAAATAACCCACATAGCAATAAAAATAATTAATTAGTTGACAAAATAAACACAATAGTATTTTTTGGTTTCTGAAACAAAATGAGGTTTAAATTTTTAATAGCTGAATAGCAATTACAAAAATAAAATTGGTAATTTTAACAATCCTTGTTATCACCTCTAGCCCTTATGAAAGTTTCTATTCCCTTGGCATGCTTCTTATTAAATTGTCAACATTGTCTTGGGGTATTGTTTTCCCATTCTGCTAATGCTGCATCAATAAGCTGTGAGACATTTCCTGTATTGTTTTGACGAGCTCTAACCCTTCTTTTGAGTGTTCGATAGGATTTAGGTCTGGAGAACATGCAGGCCAGTCTAAAACTGTGACACCTTCCATTTCAAGATATTTTGTAGACACTCTGCTGGTATGGGGAGGTGCATTATCATGCATAAAGATAATATTATTCCCAATTGCAGATCTCCTAAGCCTAACTATTGATTCTAGCACTAAATCAACATACCTCGGACTAGTTAAAGTTTGTTGAAGTGGTAAAAATAGAGTTTTTGCTTCCAGCATAATACCTCCCCCAAAACATTACAGTTCCTCTTTAATATCTTGGGACAGATCTGGCAGCGTGGAGTCTCGCTCATCTTCCTGGAGCTCTGAGAACCCAAATTCGATGGTCATCTGATCTTAGGCCAATTCTGGTCCCGTCCGAAAAAAGAACATTTTGCCAATTCTCAATTGTCCAGGTTTGGTGTCGAAGGCACCAATTTAGCCGGTCAATGTTATTTTGCCCAGATAACGGTGGGACTAGTAACTCTCACACTGTACAACCCTCGAGCGAGAAGTCTTTTTCTTAGGGTTTCAACTGAAATGTTCACACCTGTAGCTTCCAGAAGTTGTCGTTGTAGCTCTAGATGAGAAACACTGGGATTTCTTCTACCAATTTGGCACACAAAGCGCTCCTGTTGTTCAGTTGTGACTCTTTGACAACTTTGTCTAGGCCTATTCTTGAGAGTTTCTAGTTCCTTTCATATATTTTCGATACAACACCCTGGGTATCACCTACTACCTCTGCTACGTCTCATTGGGATATTCCTTGTTCAATGAGAGCAATAATTCTTCCCCTCTGCACATCGGTTAGTCCAACATAAGGTATTTTGTTTTTTTTGGACCAAAATAAAATTACTGATTTAAACTTAGAAATATAGATAATCTTTAACATCCTGTAACTCCGTAATTTTTCACTTCAGACGTTAAGCTTGTTGAAATCGACACAACCAAGGCATTTTAAATCGACTTGGGTCTGATACCGTGTAAGAATCACCCTGTATACTCGTAATGATAAAATATAAAGCTAAAGACTGTCTGCATGCCTGAAGTTTTGCTTTTTTATATCTACTATGATAATACATAATTTTTCCGAAGATTTTCACAAAAATTGTGTATATTTTGTAACCTATGAGTTTTAGACGATTGATAGATTTTATTAGTAAATTCTAAATAGTGGTGAATATGCCAACAACCTTATAGGATATATAAACATGCTTACACTTGATTTATATATATTGATCTAGAAGGCTATGATTAAATATTTTCCGAATAATTGAACATATTGTTGACTTTTATAATAAATGACGTTTGTATTACTTTAAGCGAGCATTAGACCGTTCTGTATTAGTGTTTTAAATAAATATTGTTGCAAATATGGCGTTTGCAAATAAGATTAGCTGTTATGTTTGCAATAGACACTTTCAACTTCGACTAACTATTCGTTTAGACGAGGACAATAATATAGATGTGCTTAACATTGCTAATTTTAGAAGACAAGCTGCCGGACATCCTGCAGTCGATAATCTACAAGAAGTAAGATTATGTTTAAACTGTTATCACGCACTTACACAGGAACTTAGAAATATTGAAAATGATCCAAATTGCCTAAGATTTAATGTTTTAACACCCTACTCAGTTCGTGGTTGTATAATTTGTAACGCACAAGTAAATGTAAGAAAACTATCGGCAGTATGCAGAGCAAATATTTTTTTAGTCTCAAATATTTATGTATCCTGAATATCTGAAGATTTGTGACATTCATCTAAATCATTCGGGTTTACTAATGATTAATTTACATGCTGGTTTGCGTTTTGTTTATAGACCATTCCTCCACGTTAATATTCAGCAATGTTTGTCTAGTTTAAGAGCGGCTGCTAATGCTAATAATAATTTAAAAAATTGGGAAGACATAAATACTTTTAGTTTAGAAGAATTTAAATATTTAACTTCAATTTCTAAAGAGAATTTTCAAGAATTTTGTGAACCAATAGAACAATATGGTAACTTAAGAAGCATTGCTCAAAAAGATTTACTTGCTTTCCTTGTTAAACTAAGACATGGATTGTCAGATGAGTTCATAAAATTACTTTTTAATTATTCATCCCTGCTTCAAAGATTTGTACCTAGTAATATTGGATTTAGATCAATAACCAGAGAAAACTATATCATAAATCATGTTCCTGAATTTGTAAACGCGCTTTACAACCCTATAGCAAATATTCCAAAGGCCATATTTTATGTCGATTGTACATATAACTCAATTGAAAAAAGTAGTAATTTTAGAATATTACGTCAGTCCCATTGCTATTTTAAGAAGGAACATTTAGTTAAGCCAGAAATTACAGTAGCTCCTCCTGACAGATAAATGTTATCAATCAATGGTCCCTATTTTTCTGATGCATCTAATAATGATGCAGCAATCTTACGGCAACAATTGGTTAATGATAATAATGAATTTAGAAACTGGATTACAGAAGGAGATATAGTAATAGTAGATAGAGGCTACAGAGATGTTATTCCTAGATTAGAAGAACTTGGGTTAATTACTTATATGCCACCTTTGCTTCATCAAAACCAACGGCAATTATCAACAAGTGAAGCTAATAGAGCGAGACTAATAACAAAAACTCGTTGGGTTGTAGAAGCCAGAAATGGACATTTTAAATACATTTTTAAATTTTTTAAAGGCCGCATCATGCAGTTAATTTGAGTGGTTTTTACCAGATTGCAGGTGCGTTGTTAAATAAGTTTCATCCTCTTATAAACCTACCAGGTACAATGGACATAGCAGTTGAAATTTTAAACAAACTAGATGACGTTAATATTATACAAGCACGAGTCGAAGCCCAAAATCTGACTACCAGAAATGGTCAGTGGTGAAGATTGAACCACATGCATATTCCTGAATTTCCTCGCGTAGAGATCAATTTCCTAAAAGACTTGGTAGGTTCTTACCATATTTATTTAAGTCCATCATATATTCAAGATAAACTGCAAAGAGAGGAAAATAATGTTTTAGAAATAGACGAGTTTAGTGAAGAGAATAATTTTTTACGTTTTAGAATTTATTCTAGGTTCAGAAACGCAACTAAATATATGCTGTGGTTGGCATACGAAGAGGAACTTAATGAAAATATTGATCCAATTTTCTACTATTATTGTACATGTCCATGCGGTTCGAGAACTGTAAGTACTTGCGCACATGTTGCATCAGTGTTATGGTTTCTTTGTTATGCAAGGCACCAGAATAATATAAGATTTCCAACAACACGTTTACTAAATAGCATCGATGATGCAGCAGACCGATTATTTCCAGAAAATATCGATCTCGGTCCCATAGTAGAAGAAAATTAATTGGTATTACCATCTCGTATTTGCACCTAATACTTAACGTTAACGTCTTGGTTCAGTTACGTCAGTCATTTGGTCGTTTATCTTTAGTTCAGGCTGTTCTTTTAATTTAATATTTGACTTTTGTTTTCTTATATACCTTACAAAGTATCTGAATTTATATCTTTAGTGTTTATAATAAATTCAGTTGTCCTTTGTAATTGCTATTATTGTTATATTTTTCCAAGTTATGAGAACATTAATAACAATGCCAAAATAGAAAAGAGAATTGGGTGTTGTAAAAATTCTACATACATACGTGCTAAACTTGATGCCAAAAAAGACTTGGCAAAAATGTAATGATCTCTTTATATAAATAAGTAAGATATATTGAGATAAATGGAGAAATGGGTGGGTGGGTTTTGTGGAACTCGAAGTGCGGCCACCTCCTCGTGGTGAGTTCTGGGTTGATTTAACATTTAAAACCAGTTTTATTATCTTGTAGCTGCCCTAAACCCCTTGAGTTTTAAATCAAGCGAAGAGCTGCACAAAGCTGAATTTTTTGTTTTTTAATTTCTCACCCCTAAGGTCCCAGCTAAATATTTTATTTTCTCACTAATTTTTATATAGGGTGTAAACCACATAAAACACAATTTTTTCACACTAGCCTAAATTAATGTTTTTTTGCCCTATTATACAAGCAGTGCACTATTCCTACAGGGGCTAACACTTTACGCGGAAAGGAGATCCCAATCTGATATAAATATACAATATAAAGAGGCAATGCTCCAGTCAAAATAAACATTTAATGCGATCATTATTCATTTCCCTAGATCCTACTTATACCTACCGTATAATGAACTTTTTTTGTAATGCAATAATGTATGACCCCTGTATGTAAACTAATAAGATTTTTTTAATAAAAAACTCGCAAGTTAAAAGGCAATTATTTTCTATTTTTTGCCAACAATTTCAGCATTTTGTTCATTTTTTTCCTTTTACATATTCAATCACCCTGTAAGTACGATTTTTTTTGTCTCTTTGAAAATAGTACAAGGGGTATATTCTTAATCTAAAACAGTATATCAAAATATTTAATATAAGATATTTCTCTTGAAAATATCTATTTTGTCAGTATATATTTATTGTTTAAAATTCATATATTTGGTACATATTAAGTTATATTTGGAAAACTAATCATAGGATCTAATTTTACCAATAAGAATTTTGAACGAGTACATCGAGTATCAAATTAAGGGTGATTTATGGTGTCCATTTTAAAGAATTAGGGATTTCTAACTTCAACACCCTGTATCTCAAAATCTAGTCATAGAATACGATTGGGCCCATGGACACTTTTGATGAGGACATCAAGTTATTTAACATATCAAAAATTCAGACATTTTGACGGTACTCTCGTTTGGATAAGAAAAGTGCGTGGTCCTTTGTGTTGAACAGACTCTAATGACCTAAAAGTACATAATAAAATGGATACCAAACAGGCCACTCATATTCCAATATTAACCTAACATAAGCTGAGTGGAATTCAATGAGAGATTATTCGAGTTCCTCAAGTTTTGAAAGCTTTATTTATTACATGGATGGTATGAGGAAAAAATTATAAATGTTGATTAAGAGCAGCCCTAAATCTTTCATTTCATTAACACGTTTAAGAATTGAATCGGTCATTGAGTAATCAAATACAATTTTGTCATGTCCTTTAATTATGTAACACTTGTTCATTTTAAGTGATATACAGTTATTCACAGACTAATCATGCAATTCATTAATATCACTTTGAAAAAGATAACAATAAATGACATTATTAATGGGCATAATTATATAACTTTAGGTCATCATCAAAAGTGGAAAATTACTACACAGTTAAATATTTTCAATATCATTTGATACATAGTAAGTAGATACAATGAAGGTTCCAAATGGAACTTTATTGTACTTACTTTTTTTCAAGTTTGAAAGAAATTTTTATATTTCAATAGCAATAAAGTGTGATTAACACAGTCAAAAGCTTTACTAAAATCAAAATATATTGTGTCAACTTGCATATTTTCATAAAATTTAGAAATAATATTTTGTTGATAGATCTTCACATTGGTAACTGTGGTTGATTAATAATAATATTAATTACATCTATCACTGGTTTTCAATACAGGAACAAAACTTGACCTCCATAATGTGGGAAAGTTAAAATTATAAATACTGCTGACTGAGGTGCTGTTTGAAAAATGAAATAAAAATAAATCTATAATTTTGTAGGTGAATAAGCAAATAATAATTTGTGTTATATAAATATACATTAATTGGTTTCAATTTAATTACAGGAATGTGCAAGTTAACAAAAAAAAATATGACAGTGTACTTAATAAGGGACAAGGAATTATTGCAAGTTTAGTTATATATATAGAGGAAATATTATAGGTACTTTTAATGTTCTTAAATGAATGGATTGTTTAAAACTTTCCAAGTCGTAACTTTAACTTATTGTTCCATACAAGTCACATATTAAAAAAATTCATGGATAAAACATATTTTAGGACAATTATAATGCAATAAAATGTTTCAGTATATAAGCAAAACATAAACGTGTTTGTATTATGTAATATGTACAAATTTAAATATAGCAAATGGCAGAGATCCAATAAAATCATAAACACCTGATTAAAAAAAAAATTATATGAAACTGAAAATAAAAATGTCAATAAACAGTAATTTACATCTAGACGCCAAAAACTCTGAGAAAAACCTATAAACAAAATCTAGTATTAGAACAAATACTAATACATATATTTACTTTTATATTTGCCATGTGATCCTTACATCATTCATATAAATTGTGCTGATAATTTAATTAATCATAAGTATAAAATTAACATAAAAAAATCATAAATCAAAAATGAAAAGCAATATCAACATGAAATTTTTAGTAAAAACCAAGCTATATAAGGAGATGAAGCCTATTGATTCTGCAAAAAATTGAATTAAAATTTGGGGGGTTAAGGGGGGTTGAAATATTTAAAATAATCCTAACTCAAAAACGAACAATCAAGTTGAAATTTTTGGAAATATCAAGCTCTATAAATAAGGAAATGAATAAATAAATAAATAAATAAACATGGGAAGGGGATATTAAAATATTGAAAAAAAAAAACAACTCAAAAATAAAAAATGATATTAAATTGAAATCTTCAGGAAAAATCAAGCTGTATAAGGGAATGAACCCTATTAATTCTGAAAAAACTAATTGAAAATAGGGGCCTGTTAAACTGTGAAGAGTATAATATAGAATGCCAAATAAATCCAGTGATTTTGAGCAAAACCAAATAAATCCATTTTTGTTTGTTACAATTTTAACAAAAATAATTTTTCTAAAATATAATTACAAGGGATGTATTATTGACGTTACCAAGAGTATTTTCTAACAAAACAAACGAAGAAACCAGTATTTTTTGTGCAATTAGAAAACCGTGTTGTTCCAAAAATCATTTATGGTAGATTTATTCAGTTTTGTTACATTAGGCTGAAGACTAGATCTTTGTGTAACCATTAGAGATGACTTAAATTGGTGGATAGTTTCATTTGAGGTAGCCACTTTTAAGATACAGTCGTTCAAACATGAGCATAACACACTTTTCAGACATGTTGGTTAAAATTGCCGATACTGATGACAGATTGTGGCTAAATGGCTGAACCGATTATAACATTAAGGTACGTCATTAGACACAAAATTTTATGCTTCTTAATTCTGATACCAGTGAAATTTTCTGTAGAATGAGTCGTTTTCAAATTTTTGGCGAAAAACTGAAAAGACTGTCAACCTTTCCTATTTTTTTGGCCCTCAAAGTTTAGCACAGCTCAGAAACCCTCGCAAACTCATGTACCACATATTTGGGATGTCTAAAGTGAAATAAAAATAAAAAACAGCTTTGTACGAATTTTTGGGCAGCAAAAGTATAATTTGCCTACCCTATTAGTAAATTTTTTGAAAAACCAAATCTCATTTATTCTCATATAATTTGGACAGAAGAGTGATAATGATGAAAAAATAGCTCTAATGCATAGATGAAAGCCCTAGGCATAAGTTCTAATCTCACAATGATCTAATCTAGTGGATTTTTCCAGTTAATTTGTTAATAATTTTTAAGGGACCTAATAGATATTAATATCCTATCCAAATTAAACCAGCAGGTTTGTTAAAATCTGTTCATCACCTTTAAAGCAATATTCTAAAATTATAATTAAGAATTGAAATGTTACTGTTAAAATAACTACTTTAAGCTTGCACTAGAAATATATATCTTTTTGGGAATTTACCATATGAAAGTTTTTTATAGACACTCCTAATTATACCGATTACAAACATCACATGATTTTCTAAAAATATTTATTAGTATTCAACTCCCACAAATTGCTAACAATGTAAACCAAAACACTTTGTAGTATTTAAATAGATTTTGATTTAATACTATATTTTGGAATGTGCAATTTGCCAAAAGTATTTAATAAAAAATCGAAAAATATGTACCTGGCACCGACAGACAACATCTACATCAGTAGCGAGCATATCCACAACCTTGCCTTTGCCCTCGTCACCCCATTGAGCTCCCAAAACAACGGTAACTTTGGTTTCAAGATCGGTACGGGCTCTTTTTCTAGGCGAACCATTTAAACCATTTTTTGTAGTAGTGGACATGGTGACTTAAAATAAAACTGGCTTTACCCAGTCTCTTACAATGAGTTAAAAAAGATTTCAATTAACCTTTGTATATGTTGTATAATTTATAGAACACCAAAACCTAACTATAACAACACTGTTAGTTAACTGCTAAAATGAAAGTGGTACTGGTACTTCATGTGATTTCAAATTTCAATGTTTGAACGACACAACAAGCACTGCAGAGCACAATAAATGAGAAATGAGCAAAATTAAAATTGAAAAATACGCAACGCCATCACTGTCACTATTAACTGACATCCAGTGTTGCCAGAGTCAAACTCACAGACCATACCCTTGTCAAACGGTGATATATAAGGTTTGTTCGGGTTTCTTTAAAATTTGATGCAGACCGTCCGAGATCTAGTTGAACAGCAAATTATTCGTTGCGTGTAAATTTTAAATTGTGCATTGCACTAATGGAAAACCCTATAATCTTTGATACAAAAAAAGTATTAATTTATGAGAGTTCATAAGTTGAGCAAGAGCAAGAATACCTAAAAATCGGGTAAAATCTCCATCGGTGGCAATGCTGCTGACAACTCACGATTGATGCCGCAGTGTTGCCGTTTCAGTAAAATTGTACTGAATTCAGTACGAAACGATTAGATTAATTACTTCCGTACAACTTTTTAAAAAACCACAAAATTCGGTACAAAATGCGAAAATCAGAAAAATGGCATAATTTGCAGCTTTTCGATACAAATCTATATTATAAATTTATTTTATTTTTCATTTTGGTCTATTAATTAATAATTAAAACTAAGACATATTTTTTAAACTGTAAAAGTGTAAATTATTAAATATCAGTAAAAACCAAATAGCTTGGCTTGGAATTACAGGGAAATTAGGGGAATCACCTACATAAACTTTGTGATAGGTTTGGGCGTACTCGGTTCTCCGTTCCCTACTCTAATTTCAAGTAACAATTTGTAATCGCTACGGCATTTGTGTTTATTATTGTTATTGTATTATGAATAAAATGAACAGGAAGCAATAATTTACTGGCAATAAATATAGCCTATTTTCTCGTAAGAAAATATACGATCGACACAAAATCAGAACTAAAAATATTTTGATATAATGTCTCCGATATAACGGTCTACTATAAGAAATTTATACTCAGTACACTTTCCAAACAATTTCAGTACAATTTTAAAATTCGACGCGGCAACACTGATCGATGGGTGATTCACGGTCACGGCGCACTATAAAGGTGTTTCAACTCCCTGAAAGAAACATACCAAAACCGGTCATACTTAGGGCAAAAATCCGCTAGGTTCGCTAGTGTCGTTACGGCGGAAAATTGCGGCAATCTTTTTATCTGTCAGAAAAAGTGCAATCATAAAAATAGTTCTTCTATGGTGAAAATTCGAGTTTATATGAAATGAAAAATGACAAAACTATCAGAAGAAGTACAGATGAAAAAATTAATGGTCAACAAATAAGTTTATTGTTATTGATGGTTGCTTATAAGTGTTTTTTTTAAAGAAGCTACACTGATGTGTGCGTTTATACGATCAAAAAAAGTGTTCAAGATTTAATAAATATGCTCCAATTAAGTTACAAGTTGCTGCCAGAGACTTGCTACTAAATAAGTTAAATGGGGGTGTTTATAAAAAACAGCTGATTTTGTTTTGTGTTCAAATATTACCTTTGGTTTTGGCAAAAACAGCAATACAGTGGGTTACTGATTATAAAATGAAGAAGTGGACCTTAACTATGGTACTCAGATTGAAGCTTATTATTTTTAAAGTGAGTTTTGTGATTTTCATTGCCCAGATTAAAGATATTCAATAAACATTTAGTTTTATACCTACTATAATCAAATCCATACATAGTGATTGGAATTACAAACATTTCTGTGAAATAGCATTATACCAGAATAATGAAGTCTCACTGGACTGGAGTATATATGTTTCCAAAGATCAGTAAGTACCTATATCAATTATTATTATTTTTATTAATAAGTATCAGTAATAAATACATCTCAAAGAATAACAAGGTTGTAACTGTACTTTTTGGAAAAAATGAGATTGGTAGAATATATTAATTAATTTGTTTTTGTGACCAATATGTTCATCTGTTAATTATCAATGTTGTGTTATCGAAGCACTAAAGTTATTCACATGGTTCTATTTGCAGGTACATAGAACTTATATAGTTTTTAGCAAGTGTCATTATAGTAGTTATATCTTTGTTATTCCCTAATCCCTAGCAAATGTAGTCTCCATCCTCCACAATTATATTAAGATTAAAGGCCAGGTTTTTACCTCTGAATAAAGTTGAAAGTAACAACTTGCTGATTAGGCTATAGATTATACTTATGCGTAACTTTACTCAGAGGTTAAAAAATCTGCCATTAAAAGAACAGTAAGTTTTAGAGCATAAACAGTATTAAATATAATAGGTATTTTTTTTATTAAACTTTTTGTTTTTAAACAGTTTTGATTCAAAATTATAAAAAAAATGATAGAGGATACCTAGAAAGATTTATAATATAAAACAACATTTAAAAATTCTGAATTAACAAAAGTATGTATTTTTTGTTCCAAGCTTTGTCTCTGTTACCTAAACTGAATACTAGAAACACAGTTTTAACTGGCAGTTACTACTATGCTTTATCAAATATTCTAAAAAATGTAGGTCGCTTAGTTCTTTCTGCATTTTTTATCACTTAAGATTTTCTCTTAAATTAGAGTTAGAAACACAATGAAAATCAAACAAGTTAATGGCTATACAAACTTCAACTCCAAAAAATAACTACCTGTCTAGATACAATCTTGTTATCCTAATATGACAGATGTAGAAGATTTATACAAATGTGAAAAACATTTTTCGTTCTGCAATGCTAGATGAAATCTTTAATTAGGCATCAAATTTGTAAAATGTTAGAGATAGTATGTAGGTATATAGGGAAAATAAAAAATATAATTATAATGAAGAGTAAGAACTTTTAAATTTTAATATAACTAGAACAAAATATTCAGTAATTAAAAATTTTGATAGGAATTAAAAATTTGCTCGAGTATAAATGTTGTGCTTGTTTTTAAGTGGTTTCGATTTACTTTAGGTTTGTTCCAACAATGCTCAGAAATGAGTTACTGACATCAGGATTCTGCACAGTAGTTTATTGAGACTGCAAAATTGTGTACTACCCAGTGGTTCGTTTCTGATCGTTGGAACAGACCTTTTATTCAATAAATAATCGAACAAGTTAAATGTGTATTTGGAATTTTTTTAATTTTACAAATCTGGAGCTTGAATATGGATTTTCAAATGATGCACTTTTTGTAGTTTTTAATAATGCTTTTTTTTTTTTAGTTTCTTGTTCATTTAATAAAGATGCTTTTTTGTATATGGGGTGATAATTTTTAAGCAGAGGCGTGCAGCACCCACAATTCTATTCTATTCTATTCTATTCTTTATTAATCCATTTAAACAGTTATAATGTTATTGGACACGTCAGAATTATAAATATAAAGGTGTATACAATAAATAAAAGTAATTAAACAAAACAATACAGACAAATATAGAAGAGACAAACGTAGAATGGTAGGCGAAAAGGGGCATTTGTATAAATTTATCTAGAACAGTTTGGTGGTGAAGCATGTGGTACAAATTTATATTGAAAATATTCTTGCACTGAATATGGACATATTTCTAAAAGCTGTTGTTTTATTCGATAATTAAATGTTTTTAATGTTGATTCATTTTTTATGCTCTGTGGCAGTTTATTGAATAATTTTATTCCAAGAATTGTTGGTGACTTAGCACAAATATTTAGCTGTGCTAACAGAGGAACAAGTTCATCTTTGTTCCTGGTGCTATATGAATGAAAGTCGCTATTACGTTTAAAATTCGATTTGTTTTTATATATGTATATTAAAAGTTCTAAAATATATACTCCGAATACGGTAAGGATTTTAAGTTTTTTAAATAGAGGGCGACAGGAATCTGTTGGTAGAATACCAGCCAAGCATCTTATAATTCTCTTCTGAGATATAAATACTTCATTAGCATGGGATGATCCGCCCCATACACAGATACCATAAATCAACCTAGAATGTACATTTGCGAAGTAAATTTGACGAAGATGGTGAGGTTTTAAAATGCATTTAAGGTTACGAAGTTGAAAACATTGTGAGTTTAAGGTTGTCGCTAAATTTTGACAGTGAGTTTTAAACGATAGATTTTCATCGAATGTTATTCCTAGAAATTTTGTGGAATCAACTGTATTTATGTGTGTGTTGTTTACAGACATATCTAGACAAGGTATATTAGAATTTTGGTATGTATGGAAATAAATGTAGTTAGTTTTTGTAATATTAAATAATAATGAGAGATTACTAGCCCATTCCGAGAATATTTTAATTGACCTATCGATTTTATTTTTCAATTGTTCTTCAATGGGATCAGAAAACAAGAAAGTCGAATCATCTGCATAGAGAATTGTGAATGCATGGTAAAGTAATTCTGGAAGTTCATTTACATAAATTGTGAAAAGTATGGGAGCTAACACTGACCCTTGGGGCACTCCTATATTATTTATTATTTCTTGAGAGAAACACTGTTTTCCTGAGTTGTTACTTTTAACCATTTGGGGTCTATTTGTAAGATATGTTTCAAACCATTTATTTTGATTGCCTCTAATTCCAGATGAGTGAAGTTTATTTAATAAAACATCATGCTGAACACAGTCAAAGGCTCTGCTAAGATCACAGAAAATCCCAGCCGAACCCCCACTACACTCAATAGATTGAAGCACTTTTTCGTATAAGGAGATAATGGCTGTATTTGTAGAGTATTTAGGACGGAATCCGTGTTGAGATTCAGATATAATCTGATTTAAGTTAAGGTATTTCATTAGTTGCTCCAGCATTATGTATTCGAATATTTTTGAAAGAGTAGAAGTCATTGAGATAGGTCGATAATTAGACATATCGTGCGGGTTACCTCTTTTTAATATAGGCGTTACTATAGATGTTTTTAATCTTTCGGGAAAAATACCTTCTTCCAGGGAATAATTAATTATATGAGTTAGTGGTGTTAAAATATATTCTGCGATTTTCTTTATCAAGTTTCCAGAGATATCGTCAAAACCGCTGGATGGTTTGTTTTTGATTTTTTGTTTTATGACTGTGTTTACATCTGATTCAGAGACATAAGAAGTAAAAAAGCTCTTTGTGGGTGACTTATTGTTATTATATTTATGATTTGTTTTTGGAGTTGAGATTCTGTTAATTGTTTCATATGGAATCGAAGTAAAAAACTGATTGAAC